TTCTTAGTTTTACACAGTTAGTTAAGAAAAATATTCTTAGTTTTCAGTTTCGAAAAATATTCAAGTTTATATTCTTAGTTTTCAGTGAATATTTTATGATATTAACAAATTTAACAAATTTTCTTTTTATTTCATCTGACCTGCTATTTTTATAGGGGAAATAACTGTTTTTATTTTACTGTCTTTTTCTTTTTTATTGTAGGAATATTAAAAATTAGAAATTTCATTAAATATATGGGTATTTTTATAATTATCTAGTGGTAAGCTGTTAGAAATAATCAACAAAATTGCATAATTTTTATTCTGAATATTTTAAAAAGTTAACAATTTCAAAGTGCGTTATTTTTTTAGCTTAGTTCGAGTGTATTAAAGAAACTCTTTGTTTACATTTTTATTTATCAAACTTTCCAACGTAATAATAAATTTTCAAGAAATAAGATTTTTTTTTGTTTTGTTTTGTTATAATTTTAAGAATATTGAAACTAGAAATATTCTTTAAATCTATATGTGTTTTGGCATTATTAAAGTAAAAAGATCAACCTTTTTAAGTGCTTGTTTCAACGAGTACTGAATCTGTACTGAAATAAATATACAGGGTTATTCATAATTCCCTCCGGGGTTTCGAAGCGTTATAGTAAAAAAAACGAAGACGAATATGGCAAAAAAGAACATATGAAATTATTCCAAAACTAAATTAAAACTTAAATACTTTCGGAATAATTTCATATGCTCTTTTTTGCCATATTCGTCTTCGTTTTTTTACTATAACGCATCGAAACCCCGGAGGGAATTATGAATAACCCTGTATATATATTATCCTTATATATATCCTTATATATATATATTATGTGTATATATATACATCCTTAGCTAATTGTTCTTGCTTTATATTGTATTGTAAAAATAACTGTGACTTATGTATGCATCCCATTTTATTGTTATTATATATTTTTGTAATACCGCGTATCAAAAGTGATGGCAATTAAGAGTAGTAGAAGTAGAAGAAGCACATCATTAGACGGTGCATACTTTCCAACATAGCACAACATTAAGTAACGTAGCACACCGTTTTAAACGTACTTTAAAATAATGTAAAAGTTTTCATTTATTATAAGTTGAAACGTTTACAATTTTAGTAAAATTAAATAACGAAGTATAAATAATCATTATTTTTATGTGGAATAATCTTTCAGCGAGTTTGATAAATGTAAAGCGAAACATTTTTTAAATCGCGTTTAATAGTTCTACAGATATATGGGGAAATGCACCAACGGTAACTTACTTACTTATCCTCTTCGTGCCGAACTGGCACGTAAAGCCTCGAGTCATTTTCTTAACACACTCCTGACACTAGCCAGGCAACGCGTTTCTTCCCATCCAGTTAATCCTGCTCTACTAAGATCTTCCTTAATGCCTCTTTGAAATGTTAGTCTCGGTCTCCCCTTTTTCTCTTTCCGTCTGGCGCCCATAAGCTTGTAACATTTACATGAATTTTTTTATCTGTTCTTAGTATACGACCGAGCCATCGAAATCTTCGTTTTAAAATTTCTTCATTAACAGATGGGATATAGGCTTTTGTAAAACGCAAATGGCAAAATTAACATTAAAAGGTCTTCAGACAGTTTAATTGACTGAACAATTCCAAATTGTGGTTCAGATTGTGTGTTGTAGTCCAGATCCACTTTATTTTTAGGAGTTAAAAATCAGTTATCGTCAAGACACGTTTGTGTTTTCTTTTTTTTTCTTTTTTTGTGTCAATATGGAAAATATTGTCCCATTATTTTAATCAGAAGAGCTGTCAAAAAAAGCTGTGTCAGCTGTGACTTAAAATGTTAATTCATTCATATCCAACAAAAAAATATTAGTCTAAAAGAAAAGAGTCATAATGCAAACTTGTTGATACCAAGATGATACATTTTTTTCAATCACATACATTTTAACTTTTAAATAATCAGGTTGTGTTGACTTCAAATCAAAAATTAATTGTTTATATTATAATTTATTATGGTACACAGAATTGCCATGTTGCTGTCAGAACTTCAAAAACATAACTTTATTAATTGAGTTTTTATAGTTGTTCACTTTTTAATAAACTTTCATGCTAATATTAACTTAGTTTGCTCAGTTATAGAACTTTAAATCTTAAATGATCGATTGATTTTAATGTCAATTCTCGTTTTGCTTAACGGCAACCGAGACGAGTTTCCATCTTATTTTCCTCTTACACCACTTTTTCTTTTTCCTCCATCTTCTTTTTCATATTCTCCATCTAAAGAATAAATCTAAAGAACATTCGTCAACTGTAAGAAGAAAATAGGCAAAATTAAAAACTTAAAAAAACAAATTAAAGCTGTAAATGCAGTTTGTTGGCATAGAACACTATGGGGAGGTAAAAAAAAACTATTAACTAAATGACGTTTTATTCTATCAAAATACAGGGTGTTCCAAAATTTTCCTTACAACTTCAAAAATTCATAATAAAATAAGCAAGATATTTATAATCTGTCTTTTGCATGTATTACTGCAACCAATAAAATTTTGTTTAGTACACTTCAACATGCGCACCATTGGTGGCCCTAAGCACTTCCAGTCTGTAATCAATTTCAAGCCAGGTGATGTAAAGATAATTTTGGAACACCCTGTACATATTCATTCTATTTTCAGATATGGTTTCTAATTGCCTCATCAGAGAGACATGGATTCCTTATTGCCCGGAGACAGAAAAAATTGGTTTGTGCACTGCAGACGATCTTCTAAGAGCTCAATTTAATTGTCGCTCAAATGAAATGGATTCCTACCATATCAGTTCTAAGCATCTTGATGTGTTTAAAGAGGAATTGAAAGATCTTGAAAAGTGTATGCTATCAATATGTAAGTGATGAATCAACAATACTATTTTGTATTATTAAACAAGATTTATTAGAAATGACACCGACATTATTGGGGATCATTTCCCATGAAAGTATCTTTTCTTTCGCTTGTTCTCTGTTCTTCATCATCATGATAGTTGGCCAGACAGCCCAATGTGAGCCAATGCCTTCCTCTGAAGATTTCTCCATGACGACTTCTAATTCACCTTTGATCTCCAATTCTTTTCTTTTCTCGTTTCTTATTCAAACATATTTCGGTGTATAAGCATTTATTGTAAGGTATTATCCTTTTTTAATAAATCTTGCTCAATAGTAGAAAATGAAATTTATGGAAAACTCTTTATTATTTTGAGCTTTCTTTTAAAAAGTGAAAAAAACTGATGAAGAAAATTCCTTGAAACTTTTTTAATTTTTAAGATATTCAAATCAGACTTTTTTTGATAATCACCAAATATGGCTTACTACAAAATTTAGAGAAAAAAACTTTTTCTGCACATGCGCGATATAAAAGAACTACTTTAAATACTCATATCTTGCGCAGTTTCTAACGAATTTTCTTCTCATTTCAATAATTTCGTAATCAATTTTAAATTGATCCAATTTTTTTTTTTTAATTTTATTGAATATTTTCAAAGTTATATCACACAAAATAAGAAAAAAATCAGTTTTTTATAAAAATGTCCGTATATGCATAAATATGTAAGCTAGGTTAAACATTTATGCGAACATTTACCAAAATGAAAGTTATGAGTTACAAATTTTTTACTACAATTTTTGGCATAGGGTGTTAAAAAAATTTCTCTTTATAATTTGTTGTCGGTTTCTCAAACCTCAAAAATCTTTAAACTTCATTGATATGAATACGAGTAATCGCCCATCTAAACACTTCTGATTATTTTTCCAATTTAGGTAATCGTCTATCTTGTTAATATCAACACCTTATCAAATTGTTCTTACATTAAGCTACAATAATTAAATATTTAAAAAACAAAATGTTTTGTGTTTTGTGAAAAATATTGACTTTTGAGAATGATGAAAGAGAAGAAATTATGAGCGGAGAGAGCAGGGGAGGAACCTTCCAGTACTTATAAAATAATAGCAATATAAGTACTTACTTTCGGTCATTACATACTGCTTATAAACTACTCAATCAATAATATCCTATTTTTAAAACGTCCTATATTTTTGGCGTAATTCAACTCCTCTAAAATACACATTTTTTCGTTTATGGAAGATGTGAATTTAGTGATTACCCATACTGTATAAACAGAAGATGTTGCCTTTCACTTAAAATATAGTAATTAATTAAAAATAAAATAAACTTTCTCATCTTTCAGATAAGACAACTACTGTTCATTTTTGGACCCTAATGCAGTGGGCGATATTTGATGAAAATCCCTATGAGTTGAACGACGAAGATTTCCAGTTCATTGAAAGAAATATTGCAAAGAACAATGCGAAGATGTATAATCTAACATTTGACTCCTTCGGTTACATCACAGTCTTCTATGAATGGAAAGAGGATAGACATAATCCTTATGTATTTGTTGTTCAGGATGGAAAGAAGAAAGTGCCTTATTTCTGCATGAAAGATATCCCACTTTCTTCCACTACTTCAGAACCAACCTTGGGCGTAACCACGCCAGAGTGAGTAATATAAATATGATAAATTGTTACACTAAACGATTCATCCATTTTCGAAGCATCGCTTATTTAACCACACACGATGTACAAAGATTATAGTAGAGAGATACATAATCTTATCAAGTTTCCAATTCATACCACAAATCCTTTATGTATGTGACACAGTTACCTTCCAGTACCATCGATTCATGTAATAGCATATTTTTTTTCATTAGGGGTATAGTGTGCAAAATATCAATAGTTTACACAGGGATTTACTTTCGATCTAATGGTTGGGTTTTAATGTCTTAGGACTCCATTTAAAAGGTTCGAAGATTTTATATAAATGTGGCATCATGCAGGGTGTCTCAGTTAAACGTTTCAGAACTCCTAAGAGGGGTAGGGTGCATCCTGACGACTCGAAATCATATAGCAATGCGGGGTCGGAAATTCTTTCCTGAAGCGGTGATGTACACAGAAGCACCATAAAGAAAAGAGGCCGTAAGTGAAAAATCATTTTAATAATACATTGAAAAAATTATATGGCCTCCTCGGTCACCCGACCTATCATGTCTTGGTTTCTGGGGTCATATGAAGGTTTATGACACCCCTGTTGACAATGCTAAGGAGCTGGTTGCAAGAATCGCAGTAGCTGCCGGAGAAATTCGAGATATGCCTGGAGTATTGACGAATGTTCGAAAGTCCATGAGCCGGAGATGTGAGGTGTGCATTGTAGCCGATGGCAGAAACTTCGAACACTTACTTTGACCCATGTACCATATAATTTTTTCAATGTATTATTAAAAATATTTTTCACTTACGGTCTCTTTTTTTATGGTGCTTCTGTGTATATCATCGCTTCACGAAAGCATTTCCGACCCCGCATTGCTATATGATTTTGAGTCGTCAGGTCGAGTCTACCCCTCTTAGGATTTCTGAAACGTTTAACTGAGACACCCTGTATAGTGCAGACGATATTTTAAGTTAAAAATCAGGCACAAAAACGTACTTTCTCCAAATAAACAAACCATTTTTTCAACTTATTCGGATTTCTGACTCTAAAAATACATAAGACCAGCCGCAATCTGGAATATAAAATCCCAATAGTTTAGGAATTTTTAAGTGAACCAAAACATTCTGCTCACAGTCATAAAATTTGTTTATTCAAAGATAACTTCATGTAAGAAATGGGTTTTAATATTTATTTGTTATTATGTTATTTTAGAACATTTGAAACAATTTTTCATTGTAAGATATAAAAGATTTTACGTCATTTTTAAAGAAAGTTATTTTAAATTTCAAAGTTCAAAATTTGAACGAAACTCGGACGAATCTTTAAGAAATCAAATATCACTAAACACTTTTTTTAAACTTTTATTATTCAGAAAGTATTCAAATAATTGCTCTCACTTTTCTTCAGCATTAAAGATAACATTATAAAATATGATGCAAAAATTTGTATTACCTCGCTGTGAAAGGGTTGACTCTAGTTTTCATGGATGAAATTTGTTCAGATACTCAAATTGGTTGCTCAACGGTCACTTTACAAATCATTTATCTTCACACTGTCTACTTCTAACTGAAACGCTTCGACCTCAATCTTCCAACATAACCACTAATAGTCCTTATATTTCCTCTCTACCAAACCTCTAAATTGAATTTGCGGTTAACAAAAGTTAACAGTAATCAAATATAAAATTAAATTCATCAAATATAAAATTAATCTTTTAATAGGAAAACAAAACTACAAATGCAGCAAAATATGCCGTTCAGCATTGACGTTCTTTCATTCGCTTTCATTGCTTCATCTATGAATCAAAATCCTGACTATTACTATTTTTAAAAATTTTTATTTTAAATCGCATTTTTATCAGTTAAGGTTTACACTCTTTTTGAGTATCAAGAGCAAAAAACAAAAACAATACGTTAACAAAATGTAATGAAATTTGATGAATCTTCTGTTAACAAAAGTTAACAGCAAATTCATCAAGTATAAAGTTAAACTATTTATAGGAAGACAAACTACCAATGCAGCAAGGATATGCTGTTCAGTATTGACATTCTGCAATCCACTTCCANAAAAATGTTACGTTAGTCACAATGACAGATTATCTATCATATAAGATTAGGATCTTTTTTAAACTGACAAGTTTAGTCAAATTTTCACTGGAGCTCTATGCTTGCTGACAGTACAAATTTCAATCATTTTCTAACCACTGAGCAAAATTTATTTCTATACTATCACCCCAGAGAATTTACCACTGGTCGAAATTCTGATCACCTTCAGATTAATTGGAGTAGTCAAATTTCATGTGGAACTCTGTGCCAGAGGCCAGTATAAATTTTAATCATAACCTGACCACTGCAAGCAGACTTTTTGAAAAATTCCATTTGGTGTTACTGTCGTGGCTCTAATAAGCACATAGTTGTAGAAAAGATTTAACTATTCTGAAAAACATAGGTCACAGCTTTCTTGTATAATGTAAAAAAGTCTGTGAATTTTTAAAAGAACTATCTTTATAATCAAAGTTTAGATTCGATAAAATTTACTGCTAATTTTAAAATAATATATAAAGTAAGCATTTAAATCACCTTGATGTATTTGTTGTTTACATTATGTTACGTTAAACACAAAAAGGCAATATTTTCTATTTTTAAGCTAAACCAAAAACATATATTTGTCAAAATTTTTATTTTTCTTGTATTTGTTTCAAAGCTACTTGAAGAGAGTAAAATATTATCTTAGATGTAGTGGATTCAAGAAATACTAATTCAACAATTTAGATGTGTTTAACATAACAGTTGAGATGGTACTAACTTAGCACTGTAAAGATAACCATTCCCAAATCAAAATTTTGTATGGTTTTCCATTGATGGATCAACATACTCTTGATGGTAACCATCAATAATTCCATCATGAACCATTAAACTTTTGATAGTAGCCAACATAAGTAACCATCACCCCAATGTAAGAATTCGGACTGATTTATGATGGTCCAACATAAGAATTGAAACTTATTTTGATGGTTTATTCATGTCAAACCATCAGAAATTTCCTTCATAGTTTCTTAGAAGTCAAATGATGGAACGATCATTAACAACCATCGTCCCAATGTAGGAATTCTGACTGATTTATGATGGGCCAACACAAAGAAAACCAAATTGTTTTGATGGTATATTCCTTAGAACAAACGAGAATTCATTCCCATTAAACCACCATGGAAATGTACAATTGGAACCATCATGACCATCACTGATGGATTGTTGATTGCTGAGAATCACTTGTTAACCATCATTTTGTTAAAGTAGCAGCTTCCATCATGGAATGATGGAAGTTTGCTGGCATATCAAAAACCATGAACGCATAATGGAAAATGTTGGGTGACGTTGAACCATCATGAATTGCACTGAAACCAATAAAAACCATCAAAATGATTTGATGCAACCATCAAGAATTTCGACTTGGGTTGAAAAACATCTGGAGATGCTACAGTAACAATATGCGCTACTGTAAGATACTTCAAGAAAGACATCAATGATGAGTTAGAAACCTTTGCAGTGATATCCTACAGAAAACTCATTCTTACCTTTGAGTTAAGTTATTTAATGATAGGATATTAAAGAGCAGTAAGTAGAACTTGAGTTATAAAGTAAACATTGTGTAGATAGATGGAGAAGCAACTCATTTTAAAAGTCCCTATAACATGGCATTAATGTCTGCAAATCTTCTGCAATGGAACTTCGCCAAGCCTTGTCGTGGAAGGATGGTGCAGGTGCAGTCTGTGTGGAGAGGAGTTTTACAATGTGAAATGATTGTAAAAACTGCAAACGAATTTTTCAATGAAGTCCATTCTTCTTTCGGTGCATATCAGCAAATGAGATTTCGGAAAAAGTAGCAAAGGACAAAGAATTATTGAGAAGTGTCAAGCCACTTCATGGGATTCAATCTGCACACTGCATGAAAAGTGTCAGAACGTCTTGTGCTACCTATATCTTAATTCAGGAGATACACCACCATTTGAGGATATAGTAAATATTAAAAAAGAATTCATTGCTGGAAAGCACTGCAAGCTTTTATATGACGATAATTGGTATATTGGCAAAATACTAGAATTCAATGAAAATTCAAACAAGTATAAATTTAAATTTCAGAAAGAAACAGATGAAGGATTTAATTGGCAAAAATTTGATGATATTCAGTTAGTAAAAGCTAAGTTTATTTTCTTTTTACCTGTCCAATTGAGATAAAGGGAAGTCTTCCATTTACAATTTCTTATACTGATCGAAGAAAATTAATTTCACAACATAAGAAGTTTAAAATAATGCAAAAGTAATGTACATGTTAGAGATTAGTCTCAACAAATATTTCCGAAATCTCCTGCTTGTCAGTTGATGTTACGTTAGTCACAGGCAGTCTTAAGTATAAAATTAATACTTAAGACCAAAAACAATTGTATTTTAATAAATGTGCAAGATATTTTTAATCCCTTGACTTACGAAGACGTCTGGGAGACGTCATTTGTTTCTTATATCAAAACAATAATTGACGTGTCTCAGACGTCTTCAACACAGAGATGCCAACTTGCTCCGGACTGCAAATAGATATTTTAAAGTGGTAGTTTATCAATCGTGATTCTTGGTTTAATAAATTCAATTTATTTAATAGATTTTTATCCACCACTATTTCTAAATAATTCGTAGGCTTATATAATTTACCATTTTATAGTAGTCATGTCATGCTATACCTTTTAAAAAGCAAGCAAAAATAGTCAAATATTTGCAAAATTTGTAGTTATTTATCGTTTTTTTTTTTTAATATTTTGGCGTGTCCGGAGCAGTTTGCATCTCTGTCACTATTCCGTTGCGAGTTGTTGTTTACAGTACAATCAAAGATCATTTCTATATCAAAAAATGATATGTCAAGGGGTTACTAGTTAATTGACCACCTTTTTTAAATAAAGCAACCCATTTTAAATACCTGCTTAACTTTTAAAAAAAATCACTTTATGATATAAGCATCATTTTTTAATGTTTCAAAAATGTTACGTTAGTCACAATGCTATTTTTTGTTGAAAAAATATCTTTTAAGAGTAATTTTGTGTAAAACTTGATAGAAATTATACATATATACTATACACATTGTAAATTCACAAGCATTTTTATAATTTATTTTTTAATCTTTAAGTTTGAAATGAAAAGGTTTGTAAAATCAACTCTAAAAGTTACGTTCGTCACGAGGAAATGACCCACTAACGCATTTCTTTCTTTTTTGTTTTAGTTTTGTAAATAAAACTGAACCAGATACAACGCTCATCACAGAAATACCACCCAATACTACTACGGTCACAGACTGCAATCAGACTACACCGGATACTACTGTAACTACAGACTTCAATGGTATTCCAAGAACTTATTTCTTTATCCCATCTTTAGGTGTTATCAAATTCCAGATAAATGCAGTTTGCACGACTCGGAAGAGTCTTTTTTTGTTCTTGCATCATGTTCTATTTGATTTCATTACCTCCTTTCATTACCTATTTCTTGTTTGATAAAATACTTTTTTTCTTTTATTTAATTAGTTGTGTAATTTTTATTTTCTACTTAGAAAAGTTATAATAAATAAACAATGAAATCAATAATATAACCTCGTTACTCTTTTTAATAGAAATTGACCAGAATTGCGTCATAGATGAAAGATGGGTTCCCTATTGCCCAGAAAAGAAAGAAATCGGTCTATGTTCTGCCAGGAATGTAACAGAAGCTCTAAATATCTGCCAGAAGAATACCATGGTTTTCTACCAGCCTACGAATTTAACTGTATTCGAGAAAGAGTTGCAAACACTCGAAACGTGTTTACAGTCAAAAAGTAAGGATCATAAATCTAACTGAATATTGTGATTGTGATATTATTATAAAACGGTAATTTCAATTTTTTTTTTGTGGTTCAAAACTAAAAAAAAAATCTATCAATTGTTTCGAAGCTTTTTGATTGAAACGATATTACAGTGTAAAAAATAAATACTTAAATCTCGCGAAACTTTATTCGTTTTTGACAAAATCATTTCCTAGTATATGCTTCAGGTGAACATTTCGTCAAAGTTACGAAATAACTATCACCACTTCTTCTAGGAAATGAACTTCGTCAACAGTAAAGAAATATTTCATCATTCTATTTTATTTTTCAAAAAAAAATTTCGGGTAGCATCGTTGATCATTTTGTAGGCACCATATAGGTAGAGCAACGTTGCCCCAACAACACAAGAAGGACAGATAGAGATATTACATTCATGCCCGAAGCGGGACTCGAACCCGGGATCTTCCTGGTATAAGACTATCTCCTTGACTGCCATACAGGCGGTCGTCTTGGCATGATACTCATCCCTTTCTAGTTCCAATCGTATAGTATTTATAGTTTCGTCAATAAAGTTAACAATCTCCCACAATGCCCTGCGATGTGATTCCAAGTTAAGGAAATATTTTCGTCATATACTTGAGAGTTCACATTGCTCACGTGAGTCACGTGATTTCGTCAAGAAATAAATTATGATTTTCTGTGTAAAAATATGAATGGATTTATCCTCATTGGTCGAAGCTTTTAATTATAATACTTTTTCAAAACAACGAAAATTTATAAGAAAGGAAAGAAATTCGAGTATTATTTTGAAAGGTTTTGAAATATGTATATTATTACTTATGTCTAATAGATTTTATTTCCTATCCAAAATGTGATGGGGGAAAAATACACTATGAAAATATCCTACAATATGCGAAAAATTCTAAAAATCAAATATCTCATTTTTATGCACTAATAAAACATAACTAAAAAGAATTAATTAACTTTGATGAATTGCATTTTTTGAGAGTAAAATATTTCATCGTGTTAATTAATTTAATTTTTTTAAGCTATATATTTTGAAAAAAAGAGCGCCTTTTTTTGTCCCCAATCCTTTGAGGCAGAATTTTTATTAAACTTATTTTTCATCTTTTTTTTATTATTTCTCATTAATTTAGGTCAAAATAAGTTTTATTATTTTTTTTAAGTGAAAGGTAAAATCATTATTAAGACGACTCACTTCCAAAAAATGACTTTTTCAAATTTGCATTTATTTGCAGTTGTTTAGATCTAGGAGAAACAGTTACACAGCTTTAAAATTTCTTTAATTTACAAAATCAATTATTGATTAACTTTTAAATATGTATGAATAAAAAAAAAATTTTTTCAAACTATTTTTTTCCGGATTTTATATTTTAACACTAAAAAATTTCAGATAATCTGACTGATAGTTTTTAGATTTTATTGGACTGTTTTTTATAATTAAAAAATACCAAAATATATTTTTGCTTGCAAATACAGCGTCAGAAAAATTTTAAAAGGGGATACCGGTGTTAAGTGTTAAAGTGTTAAGCTGCATAAGTGTTAAAGTGTTAAGCTGCATAATTCTAAGTAAAAAGCACCTTTTCCTCTATTAATTAAAGCTTGGAACTCAGAAGAAGCAGTTAAGGGCGGTCGTAAGGTAACACCCTGTCCTTTTTTTATGCTAATAATTCTTTTTAATCAACAGGCAAAGAAAGTAAAGTACATTTTTGGACCCTAATAATGATATCAATGACTGAACTTTATCCGATGCACGGTGTATCTTTCTTGACTGACAACTTAAAGCAAGACAAATTAGAGAAATACAATATAACTGCGGATAGAGAAGGTTTCATCACAGTCATGTTTGGGTGCGAGGATATAAGTATAAATCCTTTTGTGTTCATCGTTCAGGAATCATTCAAAAATGTGCCTTTCTTCTGCCTGAAGAATAGAACGCCTACCCCTACGAAATCAAGTTGGGATTTCTTGAACAACACTACAGCAAGGTGAGTAACGGAAAAAAATTAATATTATGTTCTATTTTCATTCTTAAATTTCCTTGAATTCGTGGGTAACACTTTTAGGGGAGATTGAGTAGGTCATAAAGATTGAGATTTGCATAGCGACCCATGGCCGGAAATGCCATCAAATCATTATCTCCAAATATGGACTGGCTGTCCGTAAGCATATAAACTGGCACTTTAATAGATGTAAATTGCATATTAATTTTTATTTTTTTTTAACCATGCTTGTCGAAAATTGCATTCAAATAGAACCTGAAATGGCTGAATGATTTGGCGACCAGCTTGTTGAACTCAGGAAATCGGACGCCAAATCATGCATCGATAAAACAGCCATATATCCATCTATTTGTATGGGATTTTACATGGTAATCATTAGGAAACACAAAATTATTAAAAAATTAAGATTCAGAAACCCAAACTTAAGGTATCCCCATTGTAATACAGCAAACTCTCTTTAATTAAAACGTCGATAAAGCAACATATTGGATACTTCAAAGTGGCATTAATTCCCCAAGAATTACCTTATAATACCAATTTTTCCCACTATTTAGATCTGCTATTACTGCTTAAATTTAGCCAATTTATGCAAACAGTTATCATAGAATCATTTCAAGTGATACCAATAGCTATAGCATGTAAAGTATACACATAAAGGGTTTGGGCCAATATGGTGACATGCAACACTTATTCAAACGCAACCATTTCTCAACAAGCTATTCCTTGGTAATGTTTTCAGATAGGTACATTGCAAGTTTAAAGAATTTCCTTTCGATAACAACACAATACGAAAAAATCTTTATTGCATACTTGGAAATCGTTATTAATCAAAATCAACATACTGAAAAATTGAAGTGTGACTTACTATAATAATGCCTTAAAACCTTCATATATCAAATGAGTACATGTGTTTGTAATTTATTTAACCAGTACCCAACTTTTATTTCCTCCTTGGGATTATTTATTCCTCATTAAATATCATAATAAAATACAATTCTGCGTAGTACAACATGATTCAGCACAGCGAGTGCAAAATGAAAGGTATAGCACAGCATAAAGGTTGGGAATTATATATCAATCCTTTGTTGCAGTACGCCGCTAAGGGGCAGTTAGCGATTTTGGACTGACATGCCCTAACTAGGGCGGATCGGAGTAAAAAACTTCACCTTAAGGACTGGCAGTTCACGAAACCGGTTAATGTATTTATTTCAATTAATTTAAATTTTATGATAGTTCAATGTGTTTAATTAATTATTGTCGAAAATATTCAGATTGTCCCAGATTATGCTGTTGTATCGTAGTTTATAGATTTGCCGACTAATTTCAGAGCTCGCCAATTTTGTTGCCAAATCATCAAATTATGATCTAACAGCTATTTCTGATTTCATTTCAATGCAATTTTCAACACATTATTAGAAAGCATTAAACTTAAATAATTTAGGTAAGTAAAAATACCATTTCAAATAGGCGCAAATAGCTAGAAAAATTATAGGACACCCCAAGAGGGCAAACGACATTTTCGATAGTAGGTTGCTATGCAAATCTCAGTCCTCATGATGGGTTTGCAAATTTTTAACCGCTGTGCTAAATTCACTCTATGGTTATTTTTTTTAATCAGTGCATATTTTTATTAATTCGAATTTTGGCTAATTATAACTTTTTTTAAGCTCGAGTTTCTAAGAATTCACCCTATTTCAAAATATCAGCTCTAATATTTTGTTTTTTATATTTTACATAGTGAGAAGATCTATACAGAGGTAGATTTTATCGGAACTTGCAAAGAAAGAAATGAAACAGTTAAAGATATGTTTTTAACGTTTCCTGAGACAGAATACGATGCAGAAGCAAAAGTTCTCTGCCCAAAAGGTTATTATGGTAAGTTTTTTTGATACATTAACATTTCAGTGTAGTTCATTTTTCAATTTGACAATGCAAAATACAAAGATTTGAGCGAAATAAACCGATCTAGGTATTCATTAAAATCATTAAAGTTCTTAGTGTAAAATATTAAATATGCGAATCGGTTTATACTTTAATTATGCTTTGTACATAAAACTTAGGCATTATATAAAATGACTAAGGCTCTTTAGACACGTATGAAGTATGAGAATTATTATAAATTTTACTTAGACATTATAACCAATACCATGGCATTTTATTAACTAAAGCTCTTTAGGCAAAGTATGAAATACGAGAATTATTATAAACTTTACTTAGACATTATAACAAATACCATGGCATTTTATTGAAAGCTCTTTAGGGAAAGTATGAAATACGAGAATTATTATAAACTTTACTTAAACATAATAACTAATACCATGGCATTTTATTGACTAAAGCTCTTTAGTCAAAGTAGGAAATATGAGAATTATTATAAATTTTTTCTTAGACATTATAACTAATACCATGGCATTTTATTGACTGAAGCTCTTTAGGCAAAGTATGAAGTACGAGAATTATTATAAACTTTACTTAGACATTATAACAAATACCATGGCATTTTATTGAAAGCTCTTTAGGGAAAGTATGAAATACGAGAATTATTATAAACTTTACTTAAACATAATAACTAATACCATGGCATTTTATTGACTAAAGCTCTTTAGTCAAAGTAGGAAATATGAGAATTATTATAAATTTTTTCTTAGACATTATAACTAATACCATGGCATTTTATTGACTGAAGCTCTTTAGGCAAAGTATGAAGTACGAGAATTATTATAAACTTTACTTAGACATTATAACAAATACCATGGCATTTTATTGAAAGCTCTTTAGGGAAAGTATGAAATACGAGAATTATTATAAACTTTACTTAAACATAATAACTAATACCATGGCATTTTATTGACTAAAGCTCTTTAGTCAAAGTAGGAAATATGAGAATTATTATAAATTTTTTCTTAGACATTATAACTAATACCATGGCATTTTATTGACTGAAGCTCTTTAGGCAAAGTATGAAGTACGAGAATTATTATAAACTTTACTTAGACATTATAACAAATACCATGGCATTTTATTGAAAGCTCTTTAGGGAAAGTATGAAATACGAGAATTATTATAAACTTTACTTAAACATAATAACTAATACCATGGCATTTTATTGACTAAAGCTCTTTAGTCAAAGTAGGAAATATGAGAATTATTATAAATTTTTTCTTAGACATTATAACTAATACCATGGCATTTTATTGACTGAAGCTCTTTAGGCAAAGTATGAAGTACGAGAATTATTATAAACTTTACTTAGACATTATAGCAAATACCATGGCATTTTATTGAAAGCTCTTTAGGGAAAGTATGAAATACGAGAATTATTATAAACTTTACTTAGATATTATAAATATAAGTAAAGTAATGCTAATAAGTAAATAGTCATACTAAATAATGAATACTAATAAATAAATTGTAAAATAATAATAATAACTAATAATACCATAGTATTTCAAAGAATGAGTAATGCTCTTTACGCAAAGTATAAAAGAATTATTATATACTTTAACGCAATAATGATATCCATTATAAATACAGGGGTGTAATTCTAGTTTATGAGGTTTCATCAAAGATACGTTACAAATTAATACATTGCATTGAATTTAATTCGAAACCACGTCTTTAAGTGAATTTACATCCTATAATCGATCATTATTTTTCAGACCTAATAATGTAAACTCAACTAAAAGGGCAATTATTAGTACAAAAGAGTAAAATTAGCTGGTAAAGATGTACCAAAATTGTTCTTCTTTTTTCAGTTTAGATGATGATGAATTTACCAGGACAAATAAACTTGTTTTCGAGAATTGCACAATGCACATCTTTATATTTTTTCTACATGAAAGAAAGTACATTCCGTGAAGTAATAAATAATAGCTGGTAATATATAAGCACCAAATGTAATGTCATTATTTTTATTGTTTTCCAAGCATGTGTTCTTAACATTGTCAGATAATCGTAAACTTATTGCTTGTTTGGAGTTAATGAGTGGATGTAAAGTAACTTGTTTCAACAATTGTTCTTTTCAGAGTGTAAGTTATTGTTGAAAAAATCACTTGGATTTATGTTAATTTTATTGTGCGCTGTTAATTATGTAAATTCGTGTTAATTTAAATGTGAAAGCTAATCTTTAACTGAAATTAATTACTATTTTTCTCTTTTTAAATAAGTAAATGTAAAGTGTAAGCCAAGATAGAGGTCCAGACAAGTGGCAAGAGAATAGAGGGCTCGCCTGCTACTGATGCGCCCCGGGTTCGAATCCCAGGGATGGCTGGTGAATTCTGTACCTGGCTCACACCGGCGACAGGGCTGATATAAAATATCCTCAGTGGTAGATCATAAGTTAGAGTCCTCTTACCGTCAGGGTAATCTTGGGACGTTTTGAAGTTTTCCTCTCTATGTAACGCAAATACGGGGTAGTTCCATCAAAACATCTTCCACGAAGGCAAATTTCTCTCAATAGTTGATTCAGGTGTTGCTTAGTCTTCTGGATTTTGATCAAGGCTGCGAACTTAAGCATTGGTAGTCATAAACTCAAAAAATTAGGTCGGGTTTTCAACGACGGTTATAAAATATGTAAATGTGTTAATTTGGATTAACTATGGCTTGTAGTAGCTGATAGTGCAATTTATATTTTCGCAGGAACAATTACATGGAACTGTAGCTATGAAGTAAAAGATTTCATAGACAAACCAGTTGGAAATTGCACATTCTTCAACTGCTCAGAGGTAAGTACGGCGTTTTTGATGTCAATTGAGTACTTGCTCTTCAAAAAGAAGAAGATCACCGATATCCACACATGTGACCTATGACTTCAGCTCCAGCTGATAGGCAAAATTGCTTGTTAAATTTGAGCTAAGCTTCCCTATATAAGTTAGAACGTTAATTAACTTGAATCTAACTAAGTACAGCTCCATGTCGTACATCGAATTTGTTGAAATATAATTTTTTCCCATCTACGTCTGTTACTTAACTTAAATTTATAATTTACTTATGTATTTTATTGTAACAGTAGTATATTTGTGTTTTGTGTACCTGGGAACTTCGATACAAAATTAGCTTATGTTCTGCATGGCTTCATACCTGTCTTTGTGTTAGGTAAGAAATCTGAAGTGAAAGTATTTAAATCTTTGTGAATGAATCCCTGTGTAAGAATTTAGAATGTGGCACTTAAGATAATGGATTTTTGACGGGCTTGGCTTACTCGAAATAGAATGGAAAGAAACAGTTGCTAACAACAAGTGCCACGTACGTTTCATCAACCAATCAGGATCCAGCTACCCACACTACGTCTCTTGCAGATATCCCGTATCATAAACCATGAATAAAAATTAAAAAATATTTAACAATTCAATAAATTCAATAAAATATTTATAAATTCAAAATTATTCCCTTCGTGTTTTCCTTAAGTTAAAACAAATTAAATAAGTTTTTTAACATACAGTACTCACAAAAATAAGCGGACTACCCCAAAATAACTTTTGATCTCATGATTGGATCTTCACGTTCTAAGACCCAATCTTAATAGCTCAAAGGGTTAACCTCAAATCTGCTAATTAATTAGTGCAGACGATATTTTAAGTTACGAAAGCAGACACGGAAACGTACTTTTTCTGAATAAATCTACTTTTTTTTCGACGTTTCTGTCTTTCGGCTATATATATATATACTAGGAGGCTCCGCCCCCTGCTCGCTAACACTCGCCAACCCCCGAGAATTGCTACGCATTCCTATGTGGTTCACGTCGTGAACCATGGCTCGCNATAAGATAGAAAGATAAGATAGAAAGATAAGATAGAAGGATAAGATAAGATAGAAAGATAAGATAGAAAGATAAGATAGAAAGATAAGATAAGATAGAAAGATAAGATAAGATAGAAAGATAAGATAGATAGATAAGATATACATCGGCAAAATGAGACAATTTTTTTTAGTAAAATTATCATCTTGCTTACTTCTTTATCTTATGATCTTGCTTATTTTTCTGCACGATTTGAAATTTTAGAGCTGTAGGTCAAATATTTATTTAGTGTTAGCAATTTCGCAAAAAGTCTTTTTAAGTTCTTTGCTGTGTATTTCTCAATCCGTATGGTATGTAATTCTCAATCCTAAGTTCGTAATCTTACAGTAGTACTGAACCCAATGTTCTAAATTTTTCAAAAATAACTGTGTTTCAGCCTTTTTATGGAAACGAGGAGGATTATATGCAGTACGAAGCTGAGTACTTGGCCAATTGTGAAGGAGAGAAAGTGGATCTCGAAGATTTGATGGAGAAAACTCGTGAATGGTTGGAGAAATTTAAACCAAAAGCTGGCGGGGATTCAGGAGATCCACGCAATAGACCAAGAATAGAGAAAGATTTTGAGAATGTCGTTGGTGCATATGACAGAATAATTAAAAAAGACGCTGTTGTCTGGAAGAAAATGGAACAGGTATTGTGAGACATTTCTCTTTCGGTTCGTGTAAATGAAATCCTCAATAAGGATGACAAAGGATTATTTCAGGTATAAGTATTTATTTCGTCATCTCTGGATTAATTATGAGTAAAAAGTAAAATATAAGTATATACATAATCTACATGGCATTAAAGTCCGGAGCTCTCCTGCTCCCTTCCAGTTCATACCTTCGCTCTCCTAGTTCAGCTAATACTCAACTCTTCTCCGTTTAAACTAATACTGATCTAAAAATATTCTTTCTCATAACAAAAAGTCCTTCGCTCAACCCCCAATGTAGGGGAACGACACTTCCCGTGTCCCTTACCCTCTGACCCTTAGGTCAGGGGTCAATCAAATGCGTGAGAGAATCAGGGTCCTGACAGGTATTAAATGAGTTATAATCTAAAAATACACAACACATTTTTTTTTATCATATCATTAGTTAAATCATATTAATGTGCATCAAATCATGCCGGACTATTTTGAATTAAAGCTGATTTTTTTCCACTACGCGATAGATGAAATGTTATATTAACATTAGGAACAAATTCGACAGACATTTTTAAAAAAAAAACTAGTCTCTAAAACAAAATAGTGATAGATCGTATTACCGGTAGAAAGAAGTCCTTGTCAACTAGTGAGAAATGTGCTTTATTAACATTAAGAACAAGTTTTTTTAGTTCTAAGAACAAGTCGTTTTAACACCAGGAAAAAGTCCTTGTTACGAGTGAGAAACTGGCTATATTAACGTTAAAAACAAGTTCTATTAGTGCTAAGTACAAGGTGTATAAACACTAGAAACATTAACTCTAGAAACCAGCCCAATAACAAGAGGAATAAGTGCTATTACCAATAGGAACAAGTTATATTAACACTTAGAACAACTTCTATTAGTGCTAAGAACAAGTCATGTTAAAAGAACCTAGATCCAAACCTAACTCCAAATTCCAGATTAACTCAAAAATCCAAAGATTAAACTAAAAGTTATTTAGAACAATTTATTATGATAATTTTTCTGTTTCAGAGGAAACGTAGGGATATGGCATTTAACATAATTAAAGAAACAGAGAAATGGGCGTGGATGATGGGCTGTCATAAAATAACTGGATCCATGACGAAGGAAAATATTGGTAACTTTTTAATTTTTCATTTATTGGAATTATTTAAAACTAAAGGAAAAGCAGTTTCGTCTCGGCATAAATAGTATTGTTAGATTATCAATCAGAAAGATTGCATTTTAATGATGTTTTTACTGTTGTTGTTGTTGTTGTCGGCCATTAAGACAGAGGGGGTGCGATTGTTCTGGTTTTCCACTGGCGCCATCTATGGCCAAGAATTCAAATTCTACCACATTCGTAAGTTATACCCGTTCATAGGTCTAACCCATTAATATATTCATTCATTCATCCAGAGATCGTAATTTTGACCTGAAGAGAACGATTAAAACCCAATCCAGTACCCCCAGAGATTGTGATTTATTATGGGAACGTGGAGGACTTTGTGAGCCGACAAATTTAACGTGCGCCTGTCACCATTTACTACATAGTCTTCGTCCGGCTAGATGGTGTTTTTACTTAATGAACAATATGAATTTTAATGTTGTTCTTTAAAAATTGTCTTTCTTTGTTTATTACCTTTTTAAAATATTAAGATCTTAAAATTATAAAAAAATTCTCCCTTTTGCGTGACGTTTCTATCACCTTTTTATTTAGTCTTGTTTATTTCCTTATGTTACATAATAAATTCTTCAATAATCAAGGAAAATAACAAAAAAAACGTCTACATTAATAATGCTTTTTTGAATTAATTCTTTAGTTCAAAAAGACGAAACGTTTCTGTCACATTTTTATTTAGTCTTCTTTATTTCATTATGTTACATAATAAATTCTTCCATAATCAGGGAAAATAAAAATAAAAAACATTTACATTAATGCTTTTTTAGGAATTTATTCTCCAGTTCAAAAGGAGTAATGGCGCATATCATTCGTATAAATATGTGTCTTATTAAACATAGAAATAAAGATAAGTACAAGAAAAATAGTGAGAAATTAAATATATAAAATAAATGGTAATTTACTGTGCAAAGTGTACTTATGTCTTCAATAACACACGACATCCTTAAAGAGTGAAATTCTAAGGATTTAATGGAATTAAAAAAAAAAAACAAATAACCATGCAAAACTTCATGAATTCAATTAAAAATAATAAAATAAAACGATAATCTTATCAATCTAACTAGAAGTTAATCATTTTGCCGTTGTGAGGCGCTGAAAACGTTATGGCCAGAGTGTTGCCATTTTGGCGTGGATTGAAAAAAACACGTCTTCTTTTTATATGCTCCAGCATTAGAGCGGAAGCTCTTTCTGCATTTTTCTGTGCTTATTACTATTTAAAATCTTTAAGATGAGTATTTGAAACATCGAAAAGAACTACAATATCGAAAATAATTTTTTAAATCCGTATGCTTAAACCCGTATGCTGATATACGGAAACTGCTTACTTCCACATTTCATTGGACAATAGACTTCGTTGTTCAAAACCTATTAGGAACATTGCAATGAAATTTTCTGACAATTTATGAACTATATTTAGTGAATTGAAAATATATTCAGTTTTGACCTTTGGTCATTTTGCAGCTATGATAACATGAAAAAGCTTTAAAAAAATATCTTCAATTTGCAGTTTTTTTGAAGTGAAACTTCTAATGCGACTTCCAATAATGTTGCGTTAACGTTTAATGCTGAATGCGTGGCACTCGAACGCATGCGCGTAGTATACCTGTTTTACAGTCAGAGCTTGGTTGCCTAGCAACCTAGTAAAATCTTAAAATATCTTGAAATATTCATTTGCGCTGGCGACTTTTTTTGGCGGTGGTCTGTGATCCTTGCAGGAGATTTTAATGTGAATTTCTCGTTACCTGACGCTGAAACATTATTAACCTTCCTTAAAGACAAATTTGGATTGGAAATGATAAATGGTAGGAATGATCCAACAATCAAAGGGGGAACTACCATTGATGCAGTTTTTGCAAGAAATATTGAAAAAATAGAACTCAAGCATTTCGTATCTTACTTTAGTTATCATAATCCCATTGTAAATGTTATGGATTTGGATATTTCTCCACTCGAAAATGATAATTGAAAGATGCGATCAATTGTGAATTGTAAGCTATGTTAATAAAGTTTGTCTTAAAGAAACAATATGATTTCACTAAAAATCAATTTCTACCCCTTCCTATTTTCATTTCCATATTGCGAAGTTTCGCTTCTTCCGCGCGGAGGGACTCCACGCACTATTTTATTAGGTAGTATGTTTAAGCAACTTTTTAACCTTTTAACAAGCTCTTAATTCAGAACCCAGAAAAAGGTCGAAATGGTACATAGTGTGAAATTAGGTTTTGTAAATTAGAATTATGTAAGCTGTGTCCTGCGTAAGCCTGTAATTTTGCTAAACAATTGCCAATTTCTTTTACAATTTAATATGGTAATTTAAATTGGTAATTTAAATATAATTTTGATTGTTCACTTAGTATTTTGATTAAGTCAACTATACACACACTTTGCCAAAAAAAATAATTGTTTTAAAAAAACATATTTATTCACCGCAAAACATATGTATTCACCGTAAAACACTAATGTGAGCTTTAAGGGTGCTTTTCACCGAATAAACAATATGAATTTTAAAGCTGTTCTCATTTAAAGAACAATGCAAGCTCTAAGACTACTTTCACTTAATAAACAATGCGAATGTCAAAGCTGTTCCCTTTTAAAGAATAATGTGAGCTTGAGGACTGTTTTCACTAAATAAACAATGTGAATTTTAAGGCTGTTTTCATTTAATGAACAATGTAAGCTTTAAAGCTGCTTTTCACGAAATAAATAATCTGAATTTCTCTGAATAAACAATCTGATTCTCGTTTAAGGAAAACTATATAACTTAAGACAGTTAATAGATGGTAAGCAATAAATTATTTACTTATGATATACCATTTTAACACTCTCTTTGTATTTTTATTTTAAGCCCTAGAAGTGTTCAAATTGGAGAAGAAAAAGGATTTCAATATCAGTTTGGCGTCCAAAACTGTGGCTGAAATCCACTTGCCGGAAAATCTATCCCCCAGAACTCGTAACTCATGCGGAGGTGAAGAAGAAGTACAGAGAGGAATTCTCGCTGTTTTTAAGAACATGGAAGAACACATGACTCCAAACTGGTAATAAAACAAATTTCATCTTAAGGGATATCACTTAAGAAACTATAGCTTTTTAATAAAAATATAGCCTAATATTAAAAATAAAATACAATCTAGGAAAAAAATAACTGTTGTCGTCGTTGACGTATATATATTAATCGGCCATTATGGCAGAGGGGGTCCAATTGTTCTTCTTTTCCAGTGGCGCCATCTGTGGACAAGAATTCGACTTCTGCCGCACCCATACGTCACATCAGTTTATAGGGTGGACCCATTCATACATCCATTCATTCCTCCACAGATCGTAATTTTGATCTGAATCAGAGAGCGATCAATCTCCAATTCAGTACCCCCAGAGGTATTGATTTGTTATGGGAACATGGAGGACTTTGAGACTCGACAGATTTAGCGTGCATCAGTCACCATTCAGTCTTCGGCCGGCAGGGATCGAACCCACAACCACTTGGACATGGGCCCAGTGCCCTACCAACCAGGCTATCCCGGCCCCAAAAAAATAACTTTAATTCATTTATGTTATTCCTATTATGTAGCTCCTATATAATTCAAAAATAATTGGAAAAAAAACTCGAAATTGATTTAAAATTTTTGGTTCGGGACCTACATGAATCTTGTACCCTCCTCCGTGGTGAGCTTTAGCCACCATCTTGAATTTAATGAGAGGGTCAAAGGTAATAGATATAGGTTTCTGAGCTAGAGAGATATTGTCCCCATATACATATTTTTTTTACCCTAAATCAAATTAGACTAAAACTCAAGCCTAAAGGACTAATATTTAAATGGTAAGATATTGTTGTTGTTCTTCAATGTCCACCCGTATATTGACTATCGACATTCGGGTATCAGAAAGGTAAAAAATGTGTTGACCACTCTTTTAGAGCCACATTATTAAATGGATCATATGATCCGACAGTAAGAAGGACAGATAGTACAGAGAAGAGAAGGAAAGAAGAGCCTTATCCGGGATTCGAACCCGGAATCTTTTTGACTTGAGGTCAGCTCTCTGGCCACCCAACTACCGGTCGGAAGAGTAAGATATTGTTTCCTAAATACATTTTACAGATCGTTTTATGAATCTACCCACCAGCCGCTACTAACTGAAAATTTAAATTTTCAGGTCTTGTATATAGAGATTATTTTTGCATTTCCAACTCTCATGCGTCATTTTTTTTTCAGTACAGAGGATGTGAATGTAAGCTCAAGTATTGTAGGTGTAAGTGTAGGCGGGAATGGAAGTTACTTCTTCCCTGAAGGTCAAGTCATTAAAGTGAAAATTTATCACGACCCTCGACCAGAAAACGCTCGTCCTCTCTGTGTCTTTCTCAACTACACAAACAAAGACAGGTAATGTCTACATCAAAATCAGATTGGTTACTTTTGTATTTTATGTTTTTAAAGGTTATACTACTACCTAACTAAAGGTTATACATATCTAAACTAAAAATAAACCTAAACAACTACAAACTAAATAAATATAAATGCAACTTAATTTTTGACATACTTAAAAAATTACTAAATAAATTTTATTAAGAAAACTCGATTTTTTTTTTCGTTTTATACTCTATAATTTATACGTTTTTGTTTTCTTTTAATATTTTTCTTTGTCTTCTTAATTTCTTTTCTCTTCTTACTTTCTTTTCGCTTTTTCCTTTCTTATCTTGTAAGACTTAAAAATATTGACTTCGCATTTTCCTTTCTTTTGAAACAACTTTTTTCTAACCCAGTAGTATCAAAGTTTTTTTTTTCAGATCTAAGACTGACATAAATTATTTTTTAACATTCTCAAAGTTTAGTTTCAAAATGGTAGCACGCAAGAAATACTTCGTAGATAAAGTAACTTTTTTTGAAAGTCGCATTCAAACTTTTTTTTTAAAATTCCATAATAAACTAAAAAAAATTCTTTTATTAATGTTAACAAATTCGTTGTTATTAAGCAAATATTTCAGTATTCACTGTTATAAGAAGAGGACAATTATAAGCTGACTTCACCAACTTAAGATCCCATCACGAGTAGCGAGATCAAGTTTGACGTTTTAAGTTAATTTACCTCGCACTAGAGCTGCACAATGGGCAATTGGCTATGGTCTGGGAATCCCTGAGGATGATCCAAAAACATGTCATCACAATTTTGATCCTGTGCAGAGGGGGTGGCACCCTCGTAACGGTAGACCAACAATCTGAGCCTGAAGTTGCGCACTTTATGATGGAACAGTTTTGACGAGGACAAATACCTCATACCCTCGGTTCCTTCGCAGACTGATTCAAGTGGTCACCCGCCTGCACGCTGACAGCAGTCAGCGATGCTTGACTTCAGTGATCAGCTGGGAATCGTGTCTTAACGATCAGTTCACTTCAAGACGAATGAAACTTTGAATGAATATAGAAGAAGGTACGATTCCGCGAGTATGGTAAAAAAATGATTGTTCAGCTCTCGCGGTTACGGTTAATTTGATCATTTAAATTGAAACTTTCAAATGACATTTTTTACAACGAAACATGATCTTTAATTTGAAAAAGATACTTAAAATGGAGTTGGAACAATATTTTTAACAAGTTTTTTATAATCCTTATTTTTTATAGAGCTTATCCCAATGGGGTGGGGGAAAGTATGTCATAAATTTCCTAGGTGTTTACATTTCTTGTCTACTGATTTGTAAAAAAAAAATCCTACTGTCTTCATCTCTGATTAGAGTCGCCTCTATTCCTATTAAAATATAGTTCCAACTCAATATTTTAAAGATTTGTCAATTTAAAAGTCACATTTCGATAAAATTAAAAAAAAAAAGTCTTACCATTTAAAACTTTTTAACACTGTCACCTTAATCGTAACTGGGAGAGGTACTTTGAACACTATATACAGCTTTGGGATATACTTTGTTACACTTTCATTTAAAAAATGATTCTCTACCATCGAATGATATGCTCTTTCATATGTTGACAAAGTTATTATCCTATAAATTGGGTTAGTAACTAAGTTCTTGCCATTTTCGTTTTCAATTTTTTAAATGTTTAAAGCGTGATAGCATTCTATTTTCATTGCCAGTTCCTCTCTTATTTGGCCAAATTTTCGTGCAAAAATTTATTTAATCGCACTTCATCGGAGAATTCATGTGAACGGCTTAAGCATATCTTTAAGTAGTATGACGGAGTATTATCTTTAAGGTCAAAAATTCCCTTTTTAAATTAATTTGGCATACCAATCACAAGTAGTTCGTTTAGCTTATAGAACCCTCTTCATGCCTTTCACAAGTGTCACGAGCAGCTTTTGCGGCCTTAACCTATATTGAAAACCGAAAGAAGGAAGTGTCGAAAAGTGTTCATCTTTCTCAACCTAACGTATCCCGCAGCGGACTGATTGTTAGGACACGGTTTCCAGTAGATCACCGAAGTCAAGAAATCACTGGCTGCGGTCAGTGTGTGGGAGAGTGAACACTTCGATAAGCCTGCGATGAGACCGAGAGTGTGCGGTATCGGCCATCGTTAAACTGTTCTACCGTAATATGCTCGACTTTGAGAGAGGTCGTCAGGCTACCCATCCCCTTTGCGAAGGATCGAACTTGTAATGGCATGTCTTCGGATCAGCCGCAGAAATGATTGTCAAAACGACGCCAATAGCTCATTGTACAGCCTCAGTGCGACGTAAATAAACCACATCTACAAATGATATTACAAAACATTGACTACAAAAAACATTACTATATCGAATAAGAAATGAAAAGTAGATTTCGGTGGAACAAAACGTCTTCATTCGAAGGATCTAAATCATTTCAAAAACATTCGATGAGATATGGAGTGTCAAAATTGAATAAGAAAACGTCAAACGTTGCCAACCCATTTTTTTTTAACTTGCGGATACGTAAATTCTGAAAGCAAATTTTGAGACAGGATTTTTTTTTTTAAAGTATTTAAGGCTTTTTCATAAAATAATAATGATAAATGGAATTTGGACACAAATAACTAGCAATTTTCGTGAGTTTTAACTTTTTGCAAATTTCTGATGTATACTTATTCTTTGTTTCAGGAATAGTAGATACGGAATTTGGGATATCTCAGGCTGCGATGTCGATAATGGTACAAATGATCCTAATTTCACTATATGCGTCTGTAATCACATGACCAATTTCGCGGTTCTTATGGACTTCACAAACCATGAGGTAAATCACGTTTATCGAATTTCTTAAAACAAAACATTAAGAAAGACAATTAAAAATAACTTTTGATCTATTGTTCCGATTTCCATTCTCCCTCTCGATTTTTCATAGATATGTGTTTTTAGATATATAGGGTGTTCCGTGTGAATCACCCTTAATATAAATTTTTTAAATCCCTGTGGAAAAACTGTGCACAGTTTAGGAGCGCAAATTGATATTTAAATAAGAAAATATGAAAATCGAATGAATCACCATAGTTTGTTTGTAGATAGAACACCCCCTCGCCACAAAATCTAAGGCCGTCTGTTGCCTAATTCCCTTTCTCTCCCCGATCAGAGTCAAAACCTGTTCTAAACAATGAGCTCGCACACCTACTTGAAATAGTTATACCTCGTTACCATAGTCACCGCCACGGGGCCAGACGAATGGCTAAGGGAGTTCTTACTTTAGACAAACTATACACTAGAACTCTCTCTCTCTCTCCGCTTCCCCTCTCTTTCCCCGTCTCTCACGCACACTTAATATTGCAATAACTTTTGAACCAATTGCAATTTAAAAAAGAAGCTCAGAAAGAAATAGGGCCCTTTTAGCATATCAAGTTTTAACTCTGCAGTTACATTTCAGTGTCCTGTAGATCGACCCGCATTTTATTTTTACTACATGTTTAGCAGTTAATAATTCTCGAACTTATTATCGAATTTTTAATTTCTCATTCCATCTTACTACCTGTAAATATTTCTGCTCACCATCATACTTTTCAGTTTTTAAGTCTGCTAGTTTTTGCACAACAAAACAAAATGTAACATTAAGTTGAATACTCAAAACAGAGATGACGGCGTTCATAAATTTTTAATATAGAAAGATAAAGTTCAGATAAATAGGTTCGAGCATTCTGATTTTATAAATAAAATCACATGATGTGATCTAGTTTTCTCACATGAATATCCGTATTCCGCTGGTTGACATCAGTATAAAACTAATAAAAGTAATAATATATTTGTTAAAGAGTACATTTTTTTTATCTATGATTCAAAAGTACTAGGAGGCTTCGCCCCCTGCTCGCTGGCACTCGCCAACCCCCGGAACTGCTTTTGCAGTTCATTTCGGATTGCTTTGCTCGCTCATAGGATACGTTCTTAATGTATAGCTTTTGTATACTTTTTTGAACACTGAAGTTCCGAAAACTTGTCACTGTAGAAAATTCTAAGCCTGTGCATTTCAATATCAATTTGAAATTGCAAACAGTTCACATATTTTTCTTAATCACACTATTCTAAATTTCAGTTGTTGAGAAAAGTAACTGTTGTAAGTTTTGTTTTAAAGTCTTTCATACCAGAGGGCTAAAACCACGTGTTGTAAAACAATATGAAATAGTACTGAATGCCGGATGTAAAGCATCGGCTTCGATGAAGATAATTTTGTGAGAATTTTTTTGATCATTCGGTGAGAATTCACCCGATTAGCAATATGATGCTCACTACGTGCTCTTGCGCGCCGAAGCCTATCAATTGAAAATGAAAACTGTTGCCAACGCTAGAAAATAAATATCATCGGTTTTATTGATGCATACGTATTAGCGTTTTATATAATACTAGGAGGCTCCGCCCCCTGCTCGCTAACGCTCGCCAACCCCCGAGAATTGCTACGCAATCCTATGTGGTTCACGCCGTGAACCATGGCTCGCTGCGCTCGCTCGCCAATGAACACAATGTTCTAGCACAAAGACATAATATATTATCATCAAAGACATAGTATTTTATCATCAAAGACATAGTATTGTACTTATGTAGAAGAATTCTACCAATGTTCTTATTGGCTTTTAAAAAAGTATATTAGCTATTTAGATTGTACATGGTGAAAAAATCAAAACATTAGCTAAATAAGAAACATATTAGCAAAATAAATTATCAAATATTGCTTCACTAATATTCTGCATTTTAAAGCGTGAAAATTCAATGCATAAATAAACGCGAAATATAAAAAAATTCAATGCATTCAATACAAACACTTAAACGTTTTTTAGACGTTTAGGTAGCTCCCAGTAGAAAAATATCAATTCAACAGCGGCCTTTTAAAGCATTCTCACTTCAATTAATTAATTAATTCCTAATTGAGTTTAAATTAAATATTGTCATGTTTTTAGTGCATGAATCTGAATTGAACAACCTGATAATGCGCACTCTGGTTATTGTTATCTGGTTGCTCACTACGTGCTCTTGCGCGCCGAATCCAATCCATTAAAAATGAAAACTGTTGCCAGTGCTAGAAAAGAAATATCATCGGTTTTATTGATACATACATACATACGTACGTATTAGCGTTTTATATAATATAGAAGATAGATAGACACCTGAATTATTCATTCATCATACTTTCTAAATGTTCTTTACAATTATCAAACATTAGATTTTGATTAGTATTCCAAAGAAAGGCTTAAAACTGAAAGTGGTGTTCCTTTATTATTACGTAGCCCTATAATATTAACTTATAACGCAAAATTTAATAATAACATGTTTTACTTTGTGGTAAATTTATAAACTATTTTACAGTAAATTATGTTTACTTTTATTACTATAAGTTTCGCATGAATCTGTATCTAGTGAATGCATTTAAAATAATTAATACAAAAGTGCAAAACATTATTATAAAACGATATTTTTGGGCCATTACTATAAAATCATTTGGGCAAAAATTTTATAAAATCATTTCGGCATTAAATAGGTATTATTAAAAAAAATTGTGGATTGTGTTGCAATGGTAACCAAGCAGAAGCATTAAGTTTTATTTTTGTTTCTGAAAAATCGAGAACTAAATTTCTGTTCAAACATTTTTGGATATTTCTGTTGAATATTTTTTTTTTAATTTAGAAGCGACAATCTGTTGGTCACCGAAAACCAAAAACTGATTTAGATGTCAATGTTGGAATGGGTGTGCATATATAATAATAGTGCATATATAATAATGCGTATGCAATATACAACACCTATAGAAGTAGTTAGTATATTGTGAGAAAAGTAGTAACTAAGAAATTACCACATAAAATAATTAATTGATTTGATGATTTCAGTATTCCGAAGAAGAGGAAAGCGCATTAAAATGTCTCTCTCTGATATGCCTAGGATTGTCTACTGTGGCTCTTGTTCTGACAATTATTGTCTATGGGACGATTAAGTGAGTTTATTTTAGTTCTTTTGTTTCATTTAAAGAGCCACTTGAATTCTATAATATTGAGATATACGTTTTCGTAAAATCAGTGGAATCGAAAGTCCTATGGTCGGTTGCTGAGCAGTACCATATGTACAGGGATCAGGTGAAAATTTCCTTCCCCTTCAAACCTATGTCTAAATTAAGATAGTGCTCTCACAAATGAGTGGTGCTGGAATCTATCTGTGAGGTGTCTAAGCTAAGATGTACTTTCACCCTTGCGGTGCTCTCTAGTCAAACGAAAGGCGCACCTTCCCGACAAGCAAATTTCTGCTCGTCAGGAAAAGCAAATTTCTGACGAGTTTGGCATGTCCAAGTGTCATTAAAAACGACATTTTATTATGTCATTCTGCTATCTTTCTATATATATATACATATGAAACGCATATGATTTGAATCAAGCGCTCTTTGAAATCCGAACCAGGGTTGTGGTGGAGTCGAAGAAAATGTTGTTGGAGTCAGAAAAATTTGCATGACTTTGACTATGGTTAAAGTTAGGTGCTGTAGATAAAAAGCGGGAAAAAAAGTAAATTTTGATCCTATGAAAAAATTGTAGACAAATATTTGGAAATAAGTGAACAAAAACATTTCCCAAAAGAATAATATTTACAATTATTTAAATTATAACTTATCACAAACTTAACTTACTCCATTTAGAGGATCTTAGGCCTTTTTTTTTTCAATTATTAAAACGAAGAATTTTAAAACTTTAGGAAAATTTACATTAATCAAGAAATTATAAGTTATTTTTTTATTTCCCTCTAAGGAAAAATTAATTATAAGGAATAGCTGAATCTCGTAACCATAGTCACCGCCACTGCTCCAGACGAATGGCGAGTGGAGCTCTTTACATAGATATATCTGTACTTAGTGAAGCCTGTTATGAGACCAAAAAACATTCAAAACGAGAAAATTAAGAGGCTCCACCCCATTCGCGTTTTCAATTCCCAGCCACATCAATTCAAGTATTTATGATGGGATTTCTAATCAACCCCAAACCATAAATTAGGGATCAGGTAACGCTCCTCTTAAGAAACACTCCTGTTAGCAACGCTCATGTTAAGGAATGCTTCGATACAAGGAACGGCTTTATATATTTTTACTACATAATAAAATTCTATTTTGCTATATTTTTGGTTTGTTAGAATCAATTATTAACAGTTTTAGATATACTAAGAAATTAAAAGGGTAAAATTTAATCCTGAAAGGTTTTCTAACCCTAACCTAGAATTTTAACCCACTGTCTGCGCTCCTGATCTAGCCAAATTTCTGTTGCAGGTCTCTTCATAACAGGCGAAATACAATCACTCTAAACTTGGCCATATGTTTGTTAGCCATATGTATTCTGGTACAAACCGGTTTAAAGAGAACCAATAAACGACAGACTGTGGTAAGACTATTTTTAACTCTTATGAAATATCAATTATGTAAAAATTCTAATTACTCTCGATATTTTCTCCAGCTCACTATAATGTATAAAAATACTTCTTAAAAACTTATCATACCTAAAGCTATTTTATTTTATAACATAAATAAAGTGCAAAGATGTAAGGTGCAAAAAAAAAATCTCTCTGAATAACTTTTGATCTAATGATCGGATCTTTACGTTCCAGGATTCAATTTTAATGTTTCGACGGGGTGACCTCAAATATGCTAATTAATAAGTGCAGGCTATGAATTACGATTTCTGATCCCCAAGACATGGGGGTCATAAAGCTGCAATCTGGGAAATATGGTCCTAATAGTTTGATCAGGAGAGCGGTCCAAAGTTTTGAGCCCTTAATTAGAAAATCCCGAAAAGTTTTTAAGCGAATTGAAAAACTTTTGTACACTATTATGAAATTTGTTTGTCCAAAGATAATTCCACGCAAAAATAACTTTTATTAAATATTTATTATTTTGTATTATTTTATTTAATAATAGTCGAAATAATTTTGAATTATAATCTATACAATGTATACAATTTTCAGCATTTTAAAGAATATAATTTTAAATGGCAAAATCTGTTGAATAATTCCAGAGAAATCGAATTTCAAAAAAGTTAGATATTTGAAATTCAAATTCTCAGGGACTATTCGACCGATTTTGCTGAAATTTTCTATTGTCAAAATTTTTTAGACCATAATTAAATAAAATAATAAAAAACAATAAATGTCTAATTAAGGTTATTGTTGTGTGGAATTTTCTTTGGATAAACGAATTTTATAATTGTGTGCAAAATATTTTCAATTCGCTTGAAAAGCTTTTGAGGTATAGCGAAATACGCAAAAAGTAAAATTAACCTTAAGGGGTCAAATCTCTGGACCGCTCTAATGACCAAACTATTTCCAAATTGCGGCTACACCCAATATTTTGGGGGTCCGAAATCTGAATCAGTTGAAAAAAAGGTATGTTTATTCAGAGAAAGTACGTTTTTGGGTCTGATTTCGTAACTTAAAATACCGTTTGCACTTATTAATTAGAATATTTGAGGTCACCCCCTCGAGACATTAAGATTGAGTCCTAGAACGTGAAGATTCCATTATTAGATCAAAAGTTGTTGGGGGTTTTTTTTAACGCATTGCATTTTTTTAAATAATCAAACCAAAACACATTTTTTTTCTATTAAATATTAATAATTAGAAAATGAACTTCAAAATAAATTAATGATTTTTTAAAATCTAGAAAGCAAAGCATATTTTATTCTGTACCAAAAAGAATGAAAATGGAAAAAAATTAAGGACTTTAACTATTCAAACCTAAGCATATTTTATTTTGCACAAAAAATTTATTAGTTGAAAAATTAAATAACTATTTTTACGAAGCTAAGCATATTTTATTTTTCACCGAAAATTGGATTTAAAAAATAAAAGTTGAAAAATTAATTAACAACTATTTTAACTATACTAACTTAAACATATTTTAGAGAGAAACCAAAATTAATTGCGAAAAAGCTAGAGGTAGCGGTATAACTATTCTAACTATACATACCAAAGCATATTTTGTTTTGTTTAAAAAATTATTATTTATAAAAAATTAAATTTGAAAAATTAATTAATAACTGTTTTGAACTACTGTACTACTTTCGAACTATTAATAGCTAATAAAAAATATGAAATAGTTTTTTTTTATTAAGTCAAATTAAAATATTGCTCGAGGAATAATAGCTCGACTTGTTTAATAAATATTAACTAGAAAAAATTGCAACTGAATCTGTTGCTTGATAAATAATAACTGGAAAAAGTTATAACTGGAAATGTTGTTCAATAAAAAATAACTTTAAAAATTTTTAACCGAATCTATTGTTTGATAAATAATAACTGTAAAAAAATTTAATTGCATCTGTTATTTGATAAATAATAACTGCAATAAAATGTAACTGGATCTGTTGTTCGATAAATAATAACTGGAAAAAAATTTTTACTGGATTTGTTGTTTGAAAAGTAATAGCTAGAAAAAAAAATTGCTGGAATACAGTGGTTCCCAAATTTGCTCGACTATGGAACCCAGTTCCAGATTCTTATGGTGGAACCCCGATAATTGCGAAAAAGCTTATTAGCGGCTATGAATATACTAAAAGAAATCAATCAAAAGAAAAAGAAAAAGACTTCTAATAATTTTGAAAATATTTAATGTGAATAATTGAGGAATGAATTGCAATTTTGAATTGAAAGATTGATTAGAAACGTTTATGAATTTTTTATAAGTGCATATCCTTAATAGAACATTTTCCTTTTCATTATTTATTCAAAATATTGCTGTAAAAAAAAACCTTCTAAATAAATTTAGTGCTTTATTTATAGGCATTTCACATAAATAAATTCATATAAGCAACCGAAACATTAACGTCAGTGCGAACCCAAGGGTTCCGCTGAAAATTTGGAACCTTCAGATTAATAAATACACATAGTGGTGATTCTCCGTGCTATTGAAAACACAACATGCTTCACTTTCTTGAAAAACTTTTTTTTTATACATTGCTTTCCTTTTTCTCAGAGAGGCATGGCAGCTAATATAATAAATAAACAGAGATGTGACTTTCGATTTTCAGCATAAAAATTTTTACCGAAATCCTGCTTCGATAACTATTTTGCAAAAAGTTTTAAACAAAAAGAAACATCTGTCAGAAGTGGGATTCGAACCCACGCCCACAGAAGTGGACTGCGACCTGAACGCAGCGCCTTAGACCACTCGGCCATCCTGACATGCCTGAAGGGAACTACAAATAAAATATATTCAATGTATAATTTAAAATTATCAAAATTTGATTTCTTGCTTTGCAAAACAATTAAACTTTTCCTGATAATAATTTTTTCCATATTCTGCACTTGAAATTGAATCTTATATATTTAGCCATTGACTTTCAGTGCTTGTTCAAACCTCCTCTTCTATTTTATTTGCGAATATGAAAATTTGAAGTAAAAGAAGGAAACAATTTTCTTTTTAAGAAAAATATTTTTAGCAAAATCAAAATGCTTCAGGTTTTTAGTTCAATTGAATTCAGTTCAGTTGCTGAATGCTTTGAATTTAAACTTCTAATAAAATATTTAGTTTCATAATTTTTCTTTTTTCAAAAAAACAAATACACAAGAAAAAGCCATCGAATGAAAGTTTTCTTTGCAGTTGATAAAAAATTTCTGAACATTATTAATTACATTATTTCTTAGCATTATTAATTACATAGTTTCTAAGCATTACATAATTAATTTCATTATTAAATTTGCATATTATATTTACATTATTTATTACCCTATTTACATTATTTACTTCATTATTTACATTATTTATTACATTATTATTAAATAATTTACATTGTTATTACATTATTTACATTATTGTTACATTATTATAAATTTTATGCATTCAAAAAATTTTAAACATTATTAATTATAAATTTTTGTTTCGAAAAAAGTTATCTCTATTAAGTCTAGTATTCTAGTATTTCCATTACAGTTTAAATTAATAATTTTATAGTTTGTTCTCTTACATTTGCACCAGCACGTGACCCCGTGCAAAGATGCAAATGAGCATATTATATTGTTCACATTACTTAATACTTAACCTGTGCACTTTCTTGAATGGAATAAATTATCAATATCTAATAAATGTTACGAAAAAATGAGCATTTATTTATAATAAAATACTACTTATTCTAAAAAAATTTTAGAGTTAATAATTTTTTTTATTATTTAAAATATAATTTTATTGTAATATCTATTTATTTAAATCTATCCTTAGAAATGTAGTATGTATAATTATAATTTTTAGGTAATATAGTTAATTCAATTTATAATTTAATGCCAGCATTGTTAATAAAAAAATTTAAGTAATATATTATATATTTTATATAATCCTTTGCATAACATTTTCCTACCTCAGTTGCATTTTTAAACTACTATTTATGTCAGATATTTATGAGATTGCATTCATACTTAATAATATGTATGTATAATGTATGCATAATAATATGTGTGCATAGTAATATATATTTATTGCATGGATTCTGTACCAATTTTTTAATCATAATTATTCTTTAGTTATTTTTAATTTATTATTAGTACTATTATTATTAAATGTTAAATTAGTTATTATCAAATTAATTTCATTAACTTTTAAAAGAAAAATTATTTTGAATAAAAATTAATGTGACGAAAAAAAAACTAATTTTAGGTCAATAATAATGCAAAAAATCTATGAGAATTTCTCAACATTAAATCTTCTATGAGAATTTCTCAACATTAAATCTAAAGTTTTTTTTGAAAAAAATTAAGTTTTAAAATTGATTTACAAAATTTTTTCATAAAAATGTCAGTAGATGCCGCCACCTAGTTCTTTACTTTGCGAAGTGCTGGAAGAGGAAAGTGAAAGTGTTTTCAAATATTTTTAAAAATATCTGCCATCTATTAGTATCTTAGTGAAAAAATATATCAATTTATTATATAGAATAGTAGTTCAAAAAAAGAGTTTCTCCAAATCCTAAGGTTTCATAAAGGGGTAAAAATGATTCAAAGAGTGAGAACTTTTTTTTCCCCACTGTAATGATTTTTGATATCTTATTTATTTTTAGTTCTAATTAATAATCCATTAGTTAGTTATTATTTCGATTGTCTTTATGAATTTATTTATAGTAAAAGGCCAATATAAAAAAAACAGCAATTTTTATTTTGGTGAAAAAATATTATTTTCTAATAACAATATTTTTAACCTAAAAATTTTGATATGCTTATTTATCTGATATACTTATTTACTTACTTGAAGGATTCGAATTGATTCGAATAACAATCTTATAAAAAGAATCTGCATTTATGAAAAATTGAATTAATATTTCCGACTGCACTTTTCAAATCAAAATAAAATAACTAAATTCGTTAACAAAGAAATTTTGTTCCCTGGCTAATTTAAGAATAAATTAAAAAACAATGAAAAAATTTATTTCCTCTTTTTAAATATTTTCCAAATAAAGTAGTCTTTTACTGGTTAATGCGGGCACAATTGCTTTTGTGTACTTTATTACTTATAAAGTCAGGGTCCAGCCGAAAAAAGTAAAATTTTTAGAGTTCCATAGCTGAAAAAAACTGGATACGACGATATAAAAGACAAGTACTAATTTTAGTAAAACTTTAAATGATGCTGCACAAAATTAAGAATATTAAAGATAAAATTTTCAAATCTATTATTGCTTCTCCTTTATTCAAAAACAAATACACAGTTTTCAAAAATATTTATTGCGAATTTCTGCTCCACCAACAGATTGCGTTACGTTAACTCACAATAATTCTAATTACGAGGGTTGTAAATTAAATAGTGGCAACTTAACCTTGAAACTCACAGAAGGGCGGGCATGCGCAAATAGGATATGGGAACGGTGAGGTGGCGCTGTTGTCGATGTGTGTAGTGCAATAAACAGTCGTTCTGCTTAGAAGGGTAGTTGTTGTGTAGCGTTAAAGTGAGGAGTTTCGTTTCCATCGCTCTAAAGCATGTTTTCAAAAGGCTTAATGACGAAAAAGACGAGATGCTTGAACCCATCGTGCTACTGTCCAATACGGTAAAGCATTTGCCCCACAGGCTTCCACTAATCCTCGATAGCATTCTGTTGCATTTTTACCACGGGCAACCTCGATTTTAAGCGACAAAGCTGATCACCTTTTGAAAACATGCTTTAGAGCGATAGAAACGAAACTCTTCACTTTAACGCCACACAACAACTACCCTTCTAAGCAGATCGACTGTATTTTGCACTCTACACATCGACAACAGCACCACCTCAACTTTCCCATATCCTATTTGCGCATGCCCGCCCTTCTGTGAGTTTCAAGGTTAAGTTGCCACTATTTAATTTACAACCCTCGTATGTAATCACTTCACTTGTGTGGCGGGTAACGTACCAGTAGTAAAATACTTGTTAGAAAACCTAACACATATCGTACCATCATTTTTTTTGTTAGTGTTTTCAGTTGCTTTACATTTATTAAATTTGTTTATTATGAAATATGGCCATTTTATTCAATTTACTATTCACCACTGAACCATTCTGCAATACTGTTTTAATGCTTATGGATTTTTCCTTGTATGTATACAGGCGTGTATGGTAGTATCAGCTTTATTGCAATACTTTGTACTGTCATCTTTCTTCTGGATGTTACTTGAAGGAGTACTTCTGTACAAAATGGTTATACTTGTTTTCGAGACAAGAAGAACTCGTCCGATCATCTTGTACGCCATTGCATATGGTAAGTATAGATCTATCATCCTAACATTTTAAACTACAATAACGTAATTGATTTATTTGCGTGGGGAAAAAATCATTAACACCATTCGCCTTAACATTCCAGGTATTCCTTTTGTTATTGTTCCGCTGTCTTCTGTTACCCATCCTGATTTGCTAATTAGAGATGATAAGTAAGTAGTACAGTGCTGATAATCAGCCAATGTTTACGTACAAGAACGTTTTAGAGCAGGGGTTTCCAACTTACATGAGGCCGAGTGCCACAATTAAAAACACAAATCAAATGGCGGGCCGCAATTTTTTCAAAATTTTATGTAGGACTCTTTTATGTTTGAAGGAACATTAAATATTACAGTCAGATTTTTACCAACTAGTACAAAACAAAAGTATTGAAATACAAATTAAAATAAGAAGTAGATTTTTAAAAATATTTAATTGTTATTAATAATATTTTTAAAAATATTAAATAAATAATAAAAATTCGGGCTACAATAACTATAATGTGCACCCATGTATGAAACAATTAATGTGTAACAGATATCTAATTGTTAAGAGATAAAACTTAAAAAAGTTTGGTAATTAAAACTTACATTGTAGCACACAAAATATTCAATAAGAAAATTGAGGTTTGTCTGCTGCAACCACCAGAGAATAGATATTTACATTTTAAATTTAAAATTTACAAATGTGTGTGCAAATATTTTCGTCCAAAATGAGTGGTTTCAAAAAGTTAAATCGGAGAATTTCTTCGAGAAAATTTCTGATACGCACATGCTAAATTATATTCACAAAATACAAAAAAATGAAATAAAAAAGAGCAACATACACGATTATTTTTGTATTTGAATAAATATTTTCTTGGATGCAAAACCTCAGAAATAAATTTTTTTGCACTGTTGGTGTGTTAAATTTCACAGAAACGAAGAAATTAGGTTTTTATTAACGAGAAAAGTATTTTATACCCACATATATTTTTTACGAAAATTGTCCGCAAAAAAATGACAACGAATATATTTTAGTTCGCGGGCCACAAAAAAAGGCTACGCGGACCGGATGCGTCCCCCGGGCCGCCAGTTGGAAACCCCTGTTTTAGAGTCTGACCTTATACATGTAGAGCCTAATCTTAAATATGTAGTACAGTATTGAATAATAATCGAATTTTTGCATAAAAGAACGTTTCAGAACCTAACCTTAAATAGCAGACGATAAGGTACTAAATCAGTGGAAAAGCGTACTTTCTCTGAATCAACATGACCTTTTTTTTCTTCGGTGACTCTAACCAATAGTTTGGTCAGGAGACTGATCGACCATTTGGTCCCCTTATTGTTCATTTTGAGTGTGGGGAATTGCATTCAGTAACTACTTTAATTATAACCTCCACAACTAATATCATGTAAACTACGCTTCTAAAAGGTGTGTGATAGTTTAACAAGAACAACGGTCCTCTCTTTTCATCGACGTGTGAGGGAGCAATTTATAATAATCGACCGCTATCTTGGAGATTAGATTCTTCCTTGGCTAAGAATAATAAGTATATCGAAACATACTGAGCCAATTTATCTCAGGATTAAATTTGAGATATTTTTTTTTATTTCCTATGAGCTGCACAATCAGTTTTCCTGATGAGCAGACCTAGTGCGTTCTCCAGAAGTGGTATCCACTCTTTCAGGACCACCACAATGGGTGAGATACCGTTGGCCATGTTAATTTGGACGTCTAGCTTCTGCCACACTAGATGGCAGCACCGAGACTCTATTTGGATGCTAAAGTGCACTAGAAATTTAATTTTAAATTTGAGATATTGGAGACAGGATTCGATTTACAAATATAATGTAAGAAAATAAATAAATAATCCCAAGAAACTGAAGCAGTAAAATATTAGTAGATTAAAAACCTCATTCCCTTCAAATATATGCAAAATGAAAATTACAGTCGACATGTTTCAAACTGCCAAAAATCGACGAACTTCTAAAAAAGAACATCTTAAGAGGTTATATTTCAAGAACATTTAAAAAAGAAAAATGCAAAATTAAATTCCACGTCTGAAGTAAATTGAATGTTGGGGTCAACTAATACCTCCTCTAAGAGTTGAGGTCTCAGCACGGGTTACCATAAACAGGAAATTTGATCCTTTAGTAGTCCAAACGTAATGACATCTTTCGCAATTCCCCCACTGCGAATTTCCCACGATGCGCCCACTTAATGCTTGGGGGGGGGGATTTTTACACTATATAAAACGAATAGTTTGGGGGGGGAGAATTTAGACGAGAGAATTTTTTTATTAAGTACATAGATAAAAGAAGCAACTGGCCATTTTCAGGCATACATAACTTGACTACAGGTGTATTTTTGCTTTTAACATATTTTCAGCATTCACAATCAGGATCAAGGTCTGCATTTGTCATATTATGAGTAGAATGCAAGCANAATTTTTTTTTAAGTACATAAATAAAAGAAGCAACTGGCCATTTTCAGGCATGCATAACTTGACTACAGGTGTATTTTTGCTTTAAACATATTTTCAGCATTCACAATCAGGCTCAAGGTTTGCATTTGTCATATTATCAGTACAATGCAAGCAAATTAGCACTATTTCGAACAAGCTAACATGGAGGGGGAAAATTAGCAATTTTTTCTTGGGGGGGGATGAATGCGCCCAAGAGCTTGGGGGGGTGGTGCCACTGTAGGAGGTGTTGGGTCAAACCGAGTTAACAGCAAAAAGCAACTCTTGAAAATCAGGGTCACTGTCTACTAGGACAAACGTATTCTCAACATATCTTTTCCATTATGAGAACTTGAACAATTTGAAAACACTTTTTTCGAAATAATACATGAATATGTCATAGGGAATAGGAGAGAGGGGTGGTCGATTCCCGTATTCAACAAACTACTTTTCAATACAATAATTTCTATGAACAAATCGAAGCTTTAGCCATGGGCAGCCCTGAATGATCACCTTGTTCACCAGACTTGAATTCGATGGCTTTATCCGTTTGGTGTATCTTGGAGATAAAGGTTTGTGCTAAACCTCACGAAACTTACCTAAATGAACGAATGTGGCAAAATATCTGTAAGTGAGCAGCGGCCCATAACAGAAAATTTTGTGATACAGATCTAGCTCTGAATAAAGACCAAAAGTAATCACTTTAAACTGCTGTAAATACCTTACGAGTAGCTATATTTTAAAGTTTATTTAAGAAACTAGTTGTGACAATTTTACTGTATGTATTTGTTACCGTACATGGCCGATTTCAAGAGAATGTCGTCTTTCACTGGTGAATGTCAACAATCACATACACTATCTGGCCATTAATGACCGGACACCCCTCATTTCGGATACAAGAGGTGCTAGTATCAAGTTAGTAGGGCGTAGGGCAGCCACGCACCCTAATCACAGCTTTAACCCTTCTAGGAAGACGATCCACTAGGTGTTGGTACACGGCGGCAGGTATTGCCCGCCATTCCTCCTGTAACATGGCGAAGACTTGAGTGGTGGTTTTGAGGCGTTGCGGTCTGGCTCTCAACCGGCGCTCCAACTCATCCCAGAGATGCTCAATTGGATTGATGTCGGGACTTTGGGATGGCCAGTCAAGCTCTTGCACCCCCATTTCATCAAACCAGTCCGTGATGGCATGTGCTTTATGAATGGCAGCGTTATTGTGTTGAAACACAAACGGGCCATTACCGAACTGTTGCCACAGGGTAGGAAGCGCCGAATTGTCCAGGATGTCTCCATATCCTTCTGCGTTCAGGGTTCCACGCATTAACTCCAAGGGTCCAAGGCCAAACCATGAGAAACAGGACCACACCATAATTCCTCCATCGCCGAACTTCACAGTGGGGACAATGCACTCCGGTAGGTACCGTTCTCCGCTCATTCTCCAGGTTCACACCCGTCCATCAGAGTGCTACAACATGCAGCGTGACTCATCACTCCACATAACGCATTTCCATTGCTCTACTGTCCACTGGCGACGTGCTCTGCTCCACTGAAATCAGTAGCGGGCGTTTGATGGAGAGATGTTTGGCATATGTGCTGCTGCTCGTCCATGGAATCCTTGTGCAATCAGCTCCCGACGAATGGTACGTGTACTGGAAACACCACCAGATGCAGCCCGGAAGTTGGTAGCGACAGTGTCCAACGACATTTGTCGGTTTGTCTTCACTACACGTCGAAGAGATCGTCGATCCCTGTCGGACATTATTTCGGGCTTGCCGGGTCAAGACTGAAGTTTTATCACTCCCTCTCGTTCCCATTTCAACACGACATCACGAACTGTTGACCGTGGTATCTGAAACTTGTCGGAGATGGCACGTATGGAATGACCAAATCGGTGGGCGCCTATGATCATGTCCCTTTCCGCCTCATTCAGCTCTCGCCGTCCACTCATTTTCACTGTTAACGCTCGTGTGGCCGTCGCCTAATTGTGAATGGTCTTCCCCCCACCACAGGTTCCGTATTTTTTCCGCCAGGACGAGTCCACCTGCCATTCAAGGGGTGTCCGGTCATTAATGGCTAGATAGTGTAGTTCGCTTTGGTGAATGTCCGAAATATTTGTTATATCCGATTTGATATTAATTTATCCGTTTATATTATTACATTTTTTGATATTTTGATATCTGCTGAGGACAGATTAGGAGAAACATCACTGCTAGAAGTACCCTTAAATGCATACTGAGCAGTGGCACTTGACCTTAAAAAAAACAATGATGTAGGTCATACCGGACAAATGTATAAGCTTAGACATGAAGGACTTAGAGGTTGGGCAGCTCCAAAAAGCATGGCCCATCGACCAGTGGTCTATTGTACGTAAACCCTATACCATGATTAACAAGAAAGCTTTATAGCTGAAATAAAGTTCTGCAAGCACCTGACAGGAATTTCTTGCAGTTCCCAGACCTTAATGCAATGTTGCCCTAAATTCTCAAATCTTTGAGCAGAATAGACCTCACAATCACAAGCAGTGGCACTAAGATAGACGTAGTATATATTTCGGACTTCTTCCGAAGAGTCTATGCGACTGTCAACATTCACCAATGGGAAGTCAACAACCACCCATTTCGGCCATTTATAGTAACATATACATATTAGTACTTGTATAACCCAGTATATTTAATATTTCCTTCCTTCTTCTTTGATCCTTCGAGAGTTGAGTTTAATTCCGAATGATCAAAACCAAATTCAATACATATGAATAACTTTTAAATAAAAACAAAATGCATTGCATGTAATTCTGATTTATTTCAGCTGTTGGATATCTCATGAGAAAGGTATGATTTGGAGTGTTTTGGGTCCCATCTTGCTCGTCATTGTGGTAATTATTTCATTTTGATATATATTAAACAGTGAAACCTCTCGAGAACGACCACTCTCTGTTCCATAGTAAAATGGTCGTTAATGGATGTAACCCCTGAGAACGACCAACTTCCATTAACGATCATTATACAGTGAAACCTCTCGGGAGCGACCACTCTCTGTTCCACAGTAAATTGGTCGTTAATGGAGGTAACCTCTAAGAACGACCAAACCAACCTCCATTAACGACCGTTACACAGTGAAACCTCTCGAGAACGACCACTCTCTGTTCAATAGTATAATGGTCGTTCATGGAGGTAACCTCTAAGAACGACCAAACCAACCTCCATTAACGACCATTATACAGTGAAACCTCTCGGGATCGACCACTCTCTGTTCCACTGTATAATGGTCGTTCATGGAGGTAACCTCTAAGAACGACCAAACCAACCTCCATTAACGACCATTACACAGTGAAACCTCTCGAGAACGACCACTCTCTGTTCCACTGTATAATGGTCGTTCATGGAGGTAACCTCTAAGAACGACCAAACCAACCTCCATTAACGACCATTATACAGTGAAACCTCTCGAGAACGACCACTCTCTGTTCCACTGTATAATGGTCGTTAATGGAGGTGGGTCGTTCTTAGGGGTTACCTCCATCGACTTCAAAATGCTATCGACCTTTCATCACCTTTCACAGATGATTTCAATATTAGTCAGTGTCACTTCCACGGTGCGGAAATGACACTTGTGTAGGCGTCATGAAAACCGGAACGATGAATAAAATTTAGAATCAATAAAAATGATCCCTTCTGATATAATTACGAATAAAAACAAATTCACCAATGATTGAACTATTTTAAATAAATGAACAATTATGTTTTTTGTTTAAGTTTGAATTTAGTTTTATATCATGAAAATTAGCTTTAAAAAATTAGAAGAGGTTTGTTTGTTTGAGATACTTAGTTTTTTTCTGAAAGGACTTTTTATTTTCCATTTTAATTTTCAATTGTAAAAGTAAATCATTGATAGTATCGTCTTTATGTTAGTTACTCTGGCTGCAATGTGAGGTTGTATAACGAAAAATGGCCCTCTAAATAAGAGCCTCGCATAAATACTTTGAATACATTTCAATCTAATTATTTGTTTTGTTAAATTTGTTGTTTTGATATTTTTTCGTGTTTCCTTATTTGAACTTTCACGTATTTGGTGCAGAAGTTAGCCCCGTCGATGGGAGAGATTCAGAGTCTACGGAAAAAATTTCGTGCCTCCCAAAAATGGTCGTAAATAGCGGAGGTCACTATATAGAGGTATTCTTTCCTGGAGGTTTCACTGTAGTTAAAATACACAAGTGTAAAGAAAATAATAATATATTTATTTTAGGTCAATCTTATTATATTTTGCTTGACGTTGCACGCCACTACGAAATTGCAGAAAATAAAGCAACAGTCGGAATCCCTAGAAGAGAAGAAGAAAAATCTGCTGTAAATATATGTTTTATTAAAATATATGAATTTTACTCGGAATGTTATTGTCGACATAGTTAAAATGGTACAATTATAATATGATTAACGCAATAATTACAACCATGGTGCTATAATAATACAATTAAAATTTTAAAATCAATGAGGGTGTAGTTAAAATCTCAATAAAATTTAGTTTTTGCGTAACTTTGATTTTGTCTAATACCAAGAAAGCTCAATTTATGCATTGTCTTCCGCGAGAACTACCGATAAAATGTATAATTAAAGACTATCAAACATGAAAAAATACGTGCATACAAAAAACAAATGTTTTGAGAGGGAGTGAAATTAATATACATATTTAAAACATATATATTAAACAAAATTGGAAAATTTTCTTTCAACTGGTAAATATTTTAAAAATAAGAATTTTTTTTTTTCCCTTTTTGAAAAAAAAATTTCTTTTTTTCCACGGCAGTACATTCTAGTTAGAAGTTTGAATATGCTTGAGAGGGAAAAAACAAACTTTGTTTATACCACGATAGCGGTAAAAGTGTGGAGAATAGGAAAACTGTTTAAACCTGAGACGCTTGTTCTATTGACAAAAAGGGTAGCTTAGCCGATGGCATCAGAATTTTTTTTTTTTTTNTTTTTTTTTTTTTTTTTTTTTTTGTTATCAACGCTCCTCCGAAATGAAAAATAGAGCAGGAGATATTGGTTAAATAAGTCTTTGAGAAGGCGAAATTTATTGTGAAGCTAAGCTGTACTCTGTTGCAAGCTAAAAAATAATAAATAATAAATAAATAATAAAATAAAGCATTATTAGTTGCACGGTTTTCTTTTGACTTGCATTAACTAGTAATAAGAACTAATAAAAATGATATCTAAAAATCGTAACAAATATGCGTGTTTCTGTTCGCGTTTAAGGAAACTGATAAAAAAATAATAAATATTATTACTTGCAAATGATTTTTTTCTACAGCGAAACAAAAATAAAAATTCTTTCTTTGACATTTGATTTGTTAATTGCATCTCAGCATGAGACGGGCCTTTTTTAGTGATCCAATCAAATCAAATACTCTAGCAACGTCATATAGTTGTTTCTTTACAAGGAACGAATGTTCTCCTTATTTATCGAAATAAGTCGCCAAGTCTAACATTCCATTAAGTCTACGGAACTATAACCTTTTTTTAATAATTCTATGATATATATCGTAAAAGATAGTACGAATTGAAATTCTGTCTGACGCGTTTAACTTTTTAAAAACTTTTATATTAGCTTGAAAGCATATTTGAATAATTTGATAACGAAATAAAACAAAACTATAAGCACTCGCGGATGATTTCTGAAACACTATACCGCAGTGGTCTTTTCTTAACTTGCAACGGATTAAAACTTGTATTGCCAACAAAAAAAAACCGCTACAAATGGACCCATTAAGCGAGTTCATTTACTTCCACCGCCTGAAATGAGACGATTTTTGTGTACCAGCTAAACTGGCAACGTCTGAATCGAGATTTTCCTATAAATCATTGCGAGAAAATTTAGCAATACAACACTCTTTATATCGAAGCAAAATAAGAAGAATCAATTTTTAAAAAAAAGAAAAGATAGAAACTCTTAATCAATACTTTGTTTTAAAAAAAAAGTTTATAGATTAATAGCAGTGCTTTAGTAACGCTTTTTATTCCTTTTAATAGCTATTTTTATTTTATACACCGAAGAGCCATTACATTATGACCACCCTGCTAATAACATGTAGGACCACCTTTAGTCCTCAAAGTTGCTAGCACCCGCCGTGGCATTGCTCCCAAAAGGTGTTGATAGGTAGTCTGAGGTATCTGGTACCAAGAGCTCACCAACTGGTCCTGCAATTCCCTCACATTCCGAGGGGGTAGTGTGGCAGCACGAATTTGGTTTTCCAAGTAGGACCACAAATGCTCTATTGGATTAAGGTCAGGTAAATTTGAGGGCCAAGACATGACTTGAAAGTCACTGGAATGTTCCTCGAACCAATCCATGACAATTCGACCCTCATGACATGGTGCATTATCCTGTTGATAAATACTATCCCCCGCAGGAAAAACTGTCGCCATGAATGGGTGAACCTGGTCTGCAACTATGTTCAAGTACAAACGTTAGGGATTGTTCTATGAGGATCATGGGTCCTAATGTGCCCCATGAAAACATTGTTCTTGTGCGAGAAGTCATGAAAACCTGGGTGAGCCTATTGTTATAGATGGAGGGTGGTCATAATGTAATGGCTCTTCGGTACATATATATATGTATATATATATATATATATATACATAATTTCTTTTTTTTTAACAGGAAACGGTGCAAAGGGATGTTTTCTTTGATGGTTCTGTTAGGCTTCACATGGATAACTGGTTTTTTCAAAGTACCAGATGCTGTAGTTTCTGACTATCTCTTTGTCATTCTTAGTGGACTTCAGGTAATGATTCTTTTCTTTCTTCCTTTCATATTTCAATAATTCTTATTTTTCCCCTTTACTGTACGCACTGTACATACACGCTTACAAACATTCTGTTTTATTTGCATAGATTTTCAATTAAGATAATGTGTTTTGTATTAACATGTTTCCTTTCTTTTACAGGGCGTTTTCCTATTTCTAACTCAAATTATTTATAATGACCAAGTCCGCCAACTTTCCTCTTCTACAAAAAGCATGTTGCCAAATTCACATCTAGGGTATGATTTTGTTCTATTTAATTACATTTCAGCAATCTTTTGCTCACTTTTTATGTACAGAGAGAAGAAAAGAAAAAGTATAACTTTCGAACTCATGGTCGGATTATGACGTTCAGTTACACTCTCAATGGTTACAATATTTCCAAATTCACATATAGTGTATGGATTTGTTCTATTTAATTACATTTCAGAAAACTTTTGCTGACTTATTGTATATGTTACTGTGAATGACCGAAATTGGTGGTTGTTCATTTCTACCGGTGAATGTTGACAATCACATAGTCGCTTTGCCACTGCTCGGTGTACGTTTGCTCGGTATGCCTTACATCAATGTTTTTTTAAGGTTCAGTGCCACTACCCAGTATGCATTTAACCGGTACACCGAACACTGATGTTTCTCCTAATCTATCTTCAGCAGATATTAAAATATCGAATAAATATAATAATATTAACGAATAAATTAATATCAATTTGGATATAACAAATATATCGGACATTCACCAAAGCGACTCTGTGATTGTTGACATTCACTGGTGAAAGTCGACATTCTCTTGATTTCGGTCATTCACGGTAACATACAGTGGGCCGACAAAAAGGTATTGCCCTTAATAACTTTTTATCTAATGATCAGATTTTCATGTAAAAAGATACATAGCTGATTTGTTTTCAATATTTCTCACGATATATTGAATAACTTGAAAATTAACACTATTATTTTTAATAAATGTTTAAAAAAACTGTTTTAAAAATGATGTTTCTTTTTGAAAAACACTTTCTTCCACTGGATTTGGAAGAAACTTATTATTACCGAAGTGTTTTTATTTTTTCCCATGGTTTCTTCCGCTGTGGGAAAAACTTGCCGCCTTTGCTTAAAAACAATAATGAACGTACAAGGCAATACTTTTACTTCCGTTACTTGTAACAAAAGTAAAAAGTGTATACTTGTACATCGTTACTTTTTAAATCTATTACTTTTACTTGTTTTCCGTTACTTTTGGAGGGAACAAGTAACGAAAATGTCAAAAGTAATCGTTAATTTCCTCTGAAAATTTTTTAAAATTTTTCTCAAAAAAGATTTTTTTTAAATTTTTGAATAATTTTTTTTTAGTTTGCAAATTTAAGGCATTACAAATTCTAGTTGACTTCGCTTTCCTAATATCTTTAAGCATTACAATTTCCCGAAAAGAAGAGGGCGGCTCTTTTGAACATTCAATAACTTTTTTACAAAAGTCACTACAAATTACTACAAAGTCCGAAAAAAAAAGGTTTCCAAAGATATGGTAGTTTTAAAACTAATATAATTTCAAACTCTTTCTCATATGCAAAGATTGAATTTTGATAATTTGAATCTGAAAATTTATTGATATACTATTTCAATAAATTTTGTAACATTTTCTAGCATTTTAATTTTATTAATGCAAAGTTTAATGCATTTCAAATTTTAAAAAAATAATAATTTTTTTCTAGCATTTTTTAACGAAAATTAAAGTTAATTTGAACTTTTGATTTCCTCGAAATGTACTTTAAAATCGTTACTTTTCTTTGTTTTGTACTTGTACTTTTTACTCGTTAATTTTTAAAATCAAAACATTTTACTTTTTACTCGTTATTTTTGCTTAAAGTACTCGTACCTTTATTCGTTACTTTCAAAAAGTAACGTTCCCATATATGACAATGAATAACGAATTCTTAATTTCTTTATTTCATTTAGACGTCATGGACAATTTTCTCCATCAGAAAAGTAAAAATTGAACCAGAACCAAAAAGGAATTCCGTGGATTTCAGCGACATCTCTACGGCCAAAACAGATCATGATTTCAAAATCATTCCAACCGCACCGCCTGCAGCAGAAATCCCGGACTTGCATCCTGTCAATATCGGTCGTGTACCTGAATTCGTCAGTTCAGAAGTCAAAATCCAGAATGTGATCCTGAAAAACGACGAAACAGCCGGGCCGCCACTGCTGGAAATCCCATCGCTGTATCCTGTCAATTTCGAAAGTATTGGGAATTCAGAAAACCAAACACTGAATGTGAACCTGGAAGCCGAAACCTCAACACCAGTGACAGAAATCCCAGTGGCCGAAACTCCAGTGGTGTATCCTGTCAGGATCGGAGTTGTCCTGAATGCTGACNAATTTATTTATTACTCATAGCAAATCGTTTAATCTTTCCTTATATGGAAGTGAAAGATCTTAAAATAACTTCTCTTTTGAAGTATAAATCTAATTATTATTCATTGGCATGTTTTTAGCCTTGAAGTCCCAAAATAGAATTTCTACCCTTATCTTTTACTAAAGATATTTTATGAAAACGAATGAAGTTTTAATACTTTTATTAATACAAAAGTATTTAATTTTTGTATTACATATATATATAATTTTTTTTCTAAACAGAAAACGGTGTAAGGGGATGTTTTCTTTGATGGTTCTGTTAGGCTTTACATGGATAACTGGTTTCTTAAAAGTACCAGATGCTGTAGTTTCTGATTATCTCTTTGTCATTCTTAGTGGACTTCAGGTAATGATTCTTTCTTTTCCCCTTTCATATTTCATTGACTCTTTTTTTTTTCTCCTAATTCTTATTTTTCCCCTTTACTGTACTCACTGTAACACGCGTAGAAACATTTTCTTTTATTTGCATAGATTTTCAATTAAGATTATGTATTTTATGTTAACATGTTTCCTTTCTTTAACAGGGCGTTTTCCTATTTCTAACTCAAATTATTTATAATGACCAAGTCCGCCAACAACTTTTCCTCTTCTACAAAAAGCATGTTGCCAAATTCACATCTAGGGTATGATTTTGTTTTATTTAATAACATTTCAGCAATCTTTTGCTCACTTTTTACATAAAGCGTGAAAAAAAAAACGAAGTATAACTTTGAATAACTCTCCACCTTCAGATGCACTCTCAATAGTTACAATATTTCCAAATTCACTTAGAGTGTATGGATTTGTTCGATTTAATGATATTTCAGAAAACTTTTGCTGACTTATTGTATATGTTATGTGAATGACTGAAATTGGTGGTTGTTCATTTCTACAGGTGAATGATGACAATCAGATAGTCGCTTTGCCACTTCTCGGTGTACATTTGCTCGGTATGCCCTACATCAATGTTTTTTTAAGGTTCAGTGCCACTACCCAGCATGCATTTAACCGGTACTCCGAACACTGATGTTTCTCCTAATCTATCCTCAGCAGATATTAGATATAACAAATATATCGGACATTCACCAAAGCGACTCTGTGATTGTTGACATTCACTGGTGAAAGACGACATTCTCTTGATTTCGTTCATTCACGGTAACATACAGTGGGCCGACAAAAAGGTATTGCCCTTAATAACTTTTTATCTAATGATCAGATTTTCATGTAAGAAGATACATAGCTAATTTTTTTTCAATATTTCTCACCATATATTGAATAACTTGAAAATTAACGCTATTATTTTTAATAAATGTTTAAAAAAACTGTTTTATAAATGATGTTTCTTTTTGAAAAACACTTTCTTCCACTTGGTTTTGAAGAAACTTATTATTACCGAAGTGTTTTTATTTTGTCCCATGGTTTCTTCCACTGTGGCTTAAAAACAATAATGAACATACAAGGCAATACTTTTACTTACGTTACTTGTAACGAAAGTGAAAGTAAAAGGTTAATACTTTTACTTATTCTTCGTTATTTTTAAATTTAATACTTTTACTTGTTTTTCCATTACTTTTTTTGGGAATAAGTAACGAAAATGTCAAAAGTAATCGTTACTTTCTTCTGAAAATTTTTAAAAAGTTTCCTCAAAAAAAATTTCTTTCAGAAGTTTTTAAAATTTTTTTTTTTTAAATTTAATGAATTACAAATTCTAGTTGACTTCTTTTTTCCAAACACCTTTAAGTATTGCAACTTCCTCAAAAGAAGAGGGCGGTTCTATTGAACACTTAATAACATTTTTGCAAAAGTCTCTATAAGTTACTGCAAATTCCGAAAGTAAAAACAAAATTTCCAAAGATTTGGTAGTTTTAAAATCAACATATTTTGAAACTCTTTTATGTATGCAAACATTAAATTTTGATATCTGGTTTGGTGTTTAGATATTTACAGCGCTCACTATTTCAATAAACTTTGTAACATTTTCCTGCATTTTAATTTTTTAAAATTTGAATTAAAATTTAATGTATTTTTTTCTAACGAACTTTAACGAAAAATAAAGTTAATTTGAACATTCGATTTCCTTGAAATTTAATTTGAAATCGTTATTTTTCTTTATTTTGTACTTGTACTTTTTACTCGTTACTTCTTAAAATCAAAGCATTTTACTTTTTACTTGTTACTTCATAAAATCAAAACATTTCACTTATTACTCGTTACTTTTTAAAATCAAAAGATTTCACTTATTACTCGTTACTACATTAAATCGAAACATTTTACTTTTTACTCGTTACTTCTTAAAATCAAAACATTTTACTTTTTACTCGTTACTTCATAAAATCAAAACATTTCACGTATTACTCGTTACTTTTTAAAATCAAAACATTTCACTTATTACTCGTTACTTCATTAAATCAAAACATTTCACTTATTACTCGTTACTTCATTAAATCAAAACATTTTACTTTTTACTCGTTACTTCTTAAAATCAAAACATTTTACTTTTTACTCGTTGCTTCTTAAAATCAAAACTATTTACTTTTTACTCGTTGCTTCTTAAAATCAAAACTATTTACTTTTTACTCGTTACTTTTGCTTAAAGTACTCGTACCTTTATTCGTTACTTTCAAAAAGTAACGTTCCCACGTATGATAATGAATAGCTAATTCTTAATTTCGTTATTTTATTTAGACGTCATGGACAATTTTCTCCATCAGAAAAGTAAAAATTGAACCAGAACCAAAAAGGAATTCTGTGGATTTCAGCGACATCTCTACGGCCAAAACAGATCAGGATTTCAAAATCATTCCAACCGCACCGCCAGCAGCAGAAATCCCAGACTTGTATCCTGTCAATATCGGTCGTGTACCTGAATTCGTCAGTTCAGAAGTCAAAATCCAGAATGTGATCCTGAAAAACGACGAACCAGCCGGGCCGCCACTGCTGGAAATCCCATCGTTGTATCCTGTCAATTTCGAAAGTATTGGGAATTCAGAAAACCAAACACTGAATGTGAACCTGGAAGCCGAAACCTCAACACCAGTGACAGAAATTCCAGTGGCCGAAACTCCAGTGGTGTATCCTGTCAGGATCGGAGTTGTCCTGAATGCTGACGAGCTACGCAATCGCCATCCTTTCGGAGTCAATTATAACATAAAAAGCACCACCGAAACGAAGTTTTATATTGGTAACCACTATCACGGCGATGCTAAAAAGTAACAAGTCTAATAAAAGAACAGTTACGTATACCTGTTACTTTAATGAGGTTATCCAAGGAATGAGTTAATAATTGCTAATTTATCAAAATCTGAGTTTCGGCTATAGCTGATTCATTAAAAATTCTAAAGGATCGTTATTAAAAATTTTCTGTAAGTTCTTTGTAACCATACTTAGAAAACTTTTAAAATTCAACTCCAAAACTTGTTTAAGTATCAGCGAATAGAGAAAAATAGCTAATTCCCGAAAATCAAAGCTCTAAGATTATAATATTATACAATTGCAGTTCGAAAATTCTAACACTATGTGGTGTTACATATTATTAAAAACAAACTAGTACTAAAGCTGTTACAACTTATGTGATATATCATTAATAACATAAAATAATAGCTATAATTTATCCGAACCAAAAATTTAACAAGAGCTGCTTCGTTTCAGCAATACCTGATTTGTCAAGGTTTCTAATGTATCAGGAAAGAAAAAAAACTTAATCGTTAACATCATGATTCGAAGATTATGAATGATTATGGTTCGAAAAATATGTCACTGTATTATTAAAAAGAAAACAGTACTAAAGCTGTAACAACTTATGCAATATGTTAATATTATAATAAAATAATAGCTAATTCATTGAATCCTAAGTTTTAGCAATAGTTGATTCATCAGCAGCAGTAGCAAATTCATCAACAGTTTAAAAGCATTGGAGAAATGCTTGAAGGTTGGCTAGTTAGATTAAGGTTGAAATTTATAAGATTATAATTCGAAGATTATGGCATTGCGCTGCATTCCAAAACAGTGCTAAAACTATTTTAATTGTGATATACTCATGACTACACAATAATACTATGATTAACAGAAGAATGCTTAAACGTATATTAATATGCACTATGTCTAATTCTGAGTTTTCTTAATTGCATATTTTTCTTTTACTTTGTATGTAATATTCATTTAACTGTAAAAACATACAAATATATCCGAAATAAACAAGTAGCTAGTTCTGATTATATTTCCGTATGTTAGTTTTGAAATATTTGTAACATGTATTTGTTGTTTCTAATACCACTTGTCAATTTCTAGCAAGCTTTGCTTGAAAGAGCCAAGTGAATTTAAGACAGAGGTTGCGTTTCTTGTTTTTCAGTGGCACCATCTATGCAGAAGAATACGACTTCACACACACACGTCACAGCCACGTTTAGAGATCAGACCTATTCATACTAGCATTAATTCATCTACAGATCGTAATTTTGGCCAGTATTATTAGAGAATGATCTATCCACAATTCAGTACCCCCTCCCTGAGGTATTGATTTGTTATGGGAACTTGGAGGAATTTGTGACCCGACAGATTTAACGTGTACTAATAACATTAATCAGAATTTATATGTGAAATACATCACAATAACTCCTTAACAGGTCACTCGCTCTCAAACATTTACTCTATTTATCGAGAAACTATAGATTTTTAGATAATTGTAAGTAATTTGCTGATTGCTAAGAAACTAAGATTCTTAGAAATGTTCTAATAATTTTATAATTACTAAGAAATTCTAGATTCTTAGAAATTTTGCATAAAACTTCTAAGTACTTGTCTACTTATTTAGAAAGGTTAGAATTCTAAGAACCAGGCAGTTTATTTGAGAAAAAAAAATAACAAACATTCAATGCAAGTATATCACAGATTTTATTATGAAATGCTTTATAAATACAGTGACAAATAAATACAATAAATAAATGATATGTATCTCAAATTGGAAGATATAACTAAATAATTTTATGACACAAAAATAAGCGTTGTAATACATGGCTGAATAAGTAACATAAACCCAAAATATTGAACAGTGATAGTCAACAATGTTATAATCACCAACAATAGCTACGAAAGGATGATAAATAAATACAGGTAAACACTCTTAAATATTGAAAAAAATATTTCACAAGCAAACAATACCTTTATGTCTTTATAATATTTATGACCATGCAATCAAATACATCTGGGTTATCGTGTTGCAAAAGCTGGATTAAACCAAGTGATTTTCTCGTCAATATAAACGCACCATCAGTTTAACATCATATCACTTTTATGTTATATAGAGAAATTAAACAAAGCATCACACGGCATTTGGTACAAAATGTAAAAGTTCAAGTATGGTTGAAGACTTTAGCTGAGATCGAAAAGAAATCGATCTGACTTAAACATCACAATACATACCTAATTTTAATTTCACCTAAAAAAATCTTAGAATTCCAGTACTTTAAATCATAATTTCATATTACAATTTGACCTGTTAACCAAACCTCTCTAATTCAACTATTATTAGAAACGCCCCCGAATTTCATCGGGCAATCAAACTGGTTTTGATGCTTCTATCCGTCATTGATTCGACAGTTTTTGATAGTGTTTTTATTTCTTCATAACCTCAATATTAATTAGCGATCCTTAATACATATATTTTTTAACCTCCTTTTTAACATATAATATACATTACTCCTTTTAAAAATATACATTGTAAACGATAATTTTGAAACACTCTGCATTTAAGAAGAAAATGATTTAAAATAAAAACACTATACTTAGTATTCAGTACAATTTCCAAGCGTCTGTCTTTATATTTTAACAGATTTATTGAAGCTTTCTGTCGCTCCTCGTTTATCGCAATGCATTTAGATAAAAATAAAAGTAATTTGTTAAAACTAGTTGATAGTATTTTTTTACATTTTTAAGAAAAACTAAATATCTTGTTCTTTAAAGCACACAGCAACAATTAATATTTTAAAATTGTTGCAAATTTAATAACATCTTAAAAAAATATTCATCTCCACCTAATTTGCTTAATTTTCATATTTTTGAAACATTTACAACCACGCAACGAGTGATGCATAGTAAAAATATGAGACCATGCGCTTTTACTTGAAATAATTTTGAAAGTATTTTTTAAAACCTAAACACTATTTGGTCTAAAGTATCTGGACATCCACGTTTCCGGTATCATGGTGTAGGGGTGTTTTTTATTTTTGTCCTGGTTTCCTTACTGCCTGTGGTTCGAAATATGAACTATTGTCGTCGGCCATTAAGGCAGAGAGGGTGCGATTGCTCTTGTTTTTCACTGGTGCCATCTATGGACAAGAATTCGACTTCTGCCACACCCATACGTCGCACTCGTATATAGGGCGGAGTCATTAATACATCCATTCATTCATCCATAGATCGTAATTTTGACCTGAACCAGAGAACGATCAATCTCCCATTCAGTACCCCCCAGAGGTTTTGATTTGTTATGGGGATTTTGAGGACTTTGTGACCCGACAGTTTTAACGTGCACCAGTCACCATTTACTAAACGGGGAGTCTTCGGCCGGCTGGGTTCGAGCTCGATCTAAATCCAATGTAACTATGTCTATTTATTAAAACTGATGTAAAGTTTTTTCAAACGTGTGTGTACATGCAACCAACGATGCAAAAGATAGACCAAATTTATATTAATATATACAACAGAACTCTCCGTGTCAGTAACGCTGGGTTTCCAGATACTGGGTCCGATAGTGCATAAAGTCACCGGTAAAGGTAAATATTGAAATTAGAATAGTTACCAGGAGTAATTAGAATCAACTCCAAACTCTTAGATCACCAGTCCAGTTATCAGTGGAATACTCAAACAAAATAATGATAGGCTTTTGAAAGTTTCGTCATTCTTTTTTACAATCTTGCCTCCACTCCCCGTTGCTGCTTCCAGCTTCCATGGTATTTTCCTCATCTAAAATCAACTGTAAGACTTTCATCTTAAATGCAGTTTTTCTGTCACTGCGAATGCGTCGAATAGACGGTACTAGGCTCATTGCGAAGTGGTAGTCTTCGTCCATGTCGTTGGAGGGTCGAGGAGTGGAGTAGTTCACCATATCGTTCATGTCATGATCGGGCATGGTATTTGCCTCATAACGATGCTGTCTTTTAATAGGATTGTAAATCTGTACGAAGTTACCGTCGTCCACGTTGTTGTTGTTGCGTTGTCTTTTTCTGGTTGAAGGATCTGGCAAGATGGTGATTTCTGAATGACTTGGCGATGAGCTGCGAACAGATTCCTCTTCTAAATACCCCTCTTCGTCATATTTCCCTTCACCGTCCTCCTCTGAAAATGTTCTTAATTATTAGTAATTTAGTAATAACTCGTAAGGGTCTTTCCTAACAAAATTTTCAATTTTTTTCTTCTTTCATTATATATAAAAATATATGTTATGGCTTGTTTTATTCTAAACCACCTAGATCCCTTAATACATAATATTATTCATATAGTATATGAATTAAATGCACTCTTTTCCACTCCCTATAGATCTATTTCAAATAAAGGATTAAAATTTTTTTAATTTGTTTATTTAATTAGAAACAACAGCGAAAAATTACTCAAAATAACAACCTTAACAGATAAAAAAAATGAGGTTGTAACTTATTTAAATAGTCTGTAGACTATATTGGCAATATGAATCGCTTATCCGGAGAAAAAAAAATTTTTTTCCTCTGGGGACTACGAGTGAAAGTTGAACAGCAAATTGCTAGAAAATGAAATATAGGGGAGAGTTGGGTAGCCCGCCCAGCGGGTACCCCCGCTCACTGTCAATTTCATATGTATAGAATATTTTTTCAAGTCAATGGGCCATCGGACTTTAATTGTTATATTAAAAAAAGATTATTTTCAAAGTTNCCATATGAATCTTAAATTCGCTTATTCGAAAAAAAATTGTTTAGCTCGGCGACTACGCATGAAAGTTGAACAGCAAATTGCTAGAAAATAAAACATACAGAAAAACACAGTCAACACAACAAAAATTACTAGTAACTTTTGATGGTTCAGATTTTCGATATCTTTTTTTCTCGTGATTTTTAAAATTTTCCATATTAATATGACGTTATTAAGACACGTGAAATTCGAATTCGATATCATTTCTTGATATCATTCTCGATGAACGACGATATCATCGTTTTCCGATCATTTTTCAATGGTTATTTATTGTTTTTACGGAGACCTAAAAACATAGTTTTTATGTACTTTGGTATTTTATGTATACTACGATAATATTGCGGCACCCGAAGTTCGGATTTGAGTCATCACTATTTCATGCGCATGATTCGCAACGATTCCGTCGTTAAGCCGGGTCGTTTTCTGATCGCTCACTCTGTAGTTATCCTAGCTCTTCTTCGTTTTTACGGCATTTTTACAGGATCATCCAAATTCCGAAATTTTTAATGCAAAGTTCTTACGACGCGTCCATTTTAAATTTGAGTAACAATTTTCTGATGTACTCGATTCGCGAAGATTCCTTCGTTAATCCGCCTCGTTTTTTNGGGGGGAGTTATTTGTCGCTCGTCTCAACATGCTTCCTCAAATTCTGATTTTTTAATACGATATTTCAATACCCGAATTTCAAATTTGAGTATGAGCGATAAGTCCATTAGATAATGTCAACCTTCATCTATCAAAAGGTACCTTCAGATTGAATTAAGTTAGCATGTCTTATATACTAGTGAATTGATGTTTAATAATTGTGGTGGTAGTTACGCCACAATACTCCCCCGTCAGAATTTTATCAGGGATAAAATTCGATGAACGGATACCACTAGTTGCTGTAAAGACCGGGAGAGCTGGATTATGGTCACCGGGTTTTTGAGCATTAGCCATGAGAGCTGTATTAAGTTCATGGTTGAGAGTGAGGACTCTCCTGTGTTGCTATTAGCAGTCGAGTGTGTGCAGGCTCCCGTTGAGTGTAAATGAGACTGAGAAGCAACAGCGCGAGGAGGACGATGACGCAGTCACAAATAGCAAATCAACTGTTCAATGTGTACCATTCATCGAAGTAAATGTGTTCATATCAGGTCCGGGTCACCAATATGGGGAAAGACCATTAAACAATGCCAACCTTCATCTATTCAAAAGTACCTCAAGATTGAATCAAGTCAGCATGTCTTATATGCTAGTGAATTGATATCTAATAATCGTAGTGGTAGTTACACCGCAATTAATCTCCTTCCGATGTGCTCTATTCACAACTAATCCATCATTCATCTACGTCATATCCTCGACAGTTGTTTTCCGTTTTAACGACGAATTTGAGTACTTTAACATTCATGCGAATATAAATATACAATATTTACCATTCAGTGATCGCAATAAGAGGAACAGCAATGAATATTTCGAACATCACAAAAGGGATTTCGATTCCGCTTTAAAAATGTTAGCATGAACCCTGATTTTGCCCGTAGTATTTTTCAGAATTTAGCAAACTTTGCTAATGATTTTGAAAAAGTATTCCTGAAAGATTTTGAAATATTTGAGGAAGAGCCGTGCTCTTAAGGTGCTTCCACCTGGGCTTACATATATCGGTCGCTGAATAGCCAACCCAATTTTTGGGTTTACGACTATTAATATTCAACTCCGTAGCTTTGCAATTTTGAACCCAATCCAGAAGACATGGAAACTCCTGGTTCAGTACCCCCAAAGGTTTTTATTTGTTACGGGGACATGAAGGACTTCGGTACTAGGCAGATTTATCGTGCATCAGGGGAGTCTTCGGATGGATCCTACGCGGCGAGTCTTTGGCCAGCTGGGATTGAACCCACGCCCTATCAACCAGGTTATGTAGTCATTCGCATCACCAGTCTCTTTCACCATATCACCTATATATTGACTATATCCGATAGTCAATATATACTGTGGGGATGGCAGACTCTATCGGTGGTTCATTGACTAAAGCAGTTTGAATGGATAGATAGCGAATAAATTTACCGAGGATGATGTGTGGGTATGTGGCCATTTCAAAACATTATTTAGGAAGGGTCGTCACTTTATCTGAGTAAACAGTGGAGAATTGGAAGTTGGGGCTTACCTAATATGGTCTGTGGATAGAGTGAGAAAGTGTCTTCATCGAACTGCAATGTGCTGCTGGCACTTTCGTCTTTGATGATCTGATCTTTGAGGAAGAGCATGCTCTTGAAGTGTTTCCACCGGGGCTTGTAGGCATTCGCGTCACCCGTCTCCTCCGCCATCCTCAGCGTCTTCTTCAATTCGCGTCGGAACAAATCTCGCAAGTTGGTCCATCTTGCTTTCGCCACGTCCGCTGCCAAAAAGATTATTGACTAGTATAAAACATATGACAGTTGAGTAGAAATACATATTATCGATATTTGAAAAGATGTACCAAAACAGTATTATGGTAACAAATCCCTAGCAACAATTTTACCTTGACCCCAGTTAGGCTCAGAATTGGCTCAATTTGGGTCCCTCTATGAACATGCATCGAGGGACCAACATTGGGATATCCAGATTTTTTAATATTGGTCCTTTATAGGACCAATATCGACCGACATACGGCCAATAGAGAACCTATAGTGGCTGAAGAATGAATATTATATATCGGGTGAATCTGACAATTCTATATAATGCCGATATTGGTTGTAAGGTGGCAGTAAAATATCGGGTGAATCAGACAATTCTATATCGAGACAATGTTGGAAAATAACGAGCCAAAATTAATGAGCCAAAATTAGTAAACATTGGTCCGATGAGGGGTCCCAAGATATTTTGTAGCTAGGGCTCAATTATTGACCAGAAAGCAAAAAAAAAAAAGAAAAAAGGAAATTGTCTTTTGATTTAATGATCGTATTAAGGGGTCCCACTGGTGCAAGTGCTATATTATGATTGATTGATAATGAGGGAAGAGACGATAATTTGAGTGGATGACGGTGCAAAGTGATATCTTTTTTAAAAAAATCAAATTTACCTTATTTTCTAGTTCCACGATTTTGATTTCGGTGAATGATTTTAACCGAAATAGATAGAAGATGGGGTACATAGAAAAAAAATAGGGAAAAAAAGTTAGGGGAAAAAATAGTTATAAAAAAAATTACCCGTTTGTAATTCTAACACAAAAAAAAAATTTTTTTGACTATCATTCGCGTGGGAATGATATTCAAAAGCAATTTTTAAAATGTTGGAACCTTGGCAAATGCCCCGCAACAGACATTATTTACGTAGGATTATTATACCTGTTGACCATGAAAAATAGAATTTGAAAATTTAAATCGATTTATATTACCATGGCTACGGCGTAAGGTAAAGCCACAATTGCTACGGCTTCATCTGTAATTAAGAAAAAGTTATCGGTCAATTCAGACCTGAGCAGCTATTTGAAAAATGTGCTTGAAAATAACCACTCACCACTCAGTGAGTCAACGAAAAAAAGTCGCGAATTAAAATAAACAACTGCTCACTTTTTCCTATCTTATTGGTTTCTTTCTTCTTTTTTTCTTAATCGCTTGATGATAAAAGTACATGAAAGCAGAGAGACACTCTAGAAAACACATTTTCTCTTTAAATATTCCATGTCTCCATTCAAAACTTTAATCCTTTAAAATGCAGCAATTTATGGTGGAAAAATTCCTGTCGAAGGAGAGTTCTTCAACAACAATTCAATTATTTCAAAGTTATAAAGCAGGGGTTTCTAACATACATGAAGCCAAGGGCCGCAATTGAGAACACAAGTCAAATAGCGGGCCGCAACTTCATCAAAATTTTATGTAGGACTCTTTTATGTTTGAAGGAACATTAAATATTACTGTCAGATTTTTATCAAAGTTTTTGCAATATTAAAAAGCAAAATAACAAGCATTACAAATAATGCTTTTTACGTATCATTTTTAATCTTCTCTTAATCAAAAACTTAGTGGCAAGAATTTTTTTTCTTTTAAATTTAATTCTGTGATAAATTATCATTTTTTTCGATTTATTAGGAATTATAGCAACAACAAAAAAATTCTCGAGCATCTGAAATTAATTTTTTTTTCTTTTTCCGCTCATGATATATTCAATTCAAGGAATTTAGATAAAACATGATATTCATTCCCTCTTTTATGCGTTTTAAAATTTACAAATGTAAATAATTTCGTCCAAAATGAATGATTTCAAAAAGTTAAATGGGAGAATTTCTGATACGCACATGCTAAATTATATTCACAAAATACTAAAAAAATAAATAAATAAATAAAAAAAGAGGTACATACACGATTATTTTTGTATTTGAATAAATATTTTCTTGGATGCAAAACCTGAGCAATAAATTATTTTTTGCACCGTTGGCATGTTAAATTTTACAGAAACGAAGAAATTAGGTTTCTTTAAGCGAATGAAAAGTATTTTAAACCCATTTAGATTTTTTATGAAAATTGTCCGCAAAAAAACAACAATATATTTCAGTTCGCGGGCCATAAAAAAAAGGCTTTCCAACCGGCGGGCAGCCAGTTGGAAATCTCTGCTGTAAAGTATACATGAAATGTACCGAGATTGGACAAAATAATGGAAACACTTCGATTCTAGTACATTTTTTGATATTTCTCAAAAAAATACTTAGAGAATCAGTTTATAAATTGAGAAGTGTTTAGATCGGGCGATTTCTCATACCTATCAATGAAGTTTAAAGCTTGTTGGAGGTTTGAGGGACCAACAATAAATTACAAACAGAAAAAAAATTTAGAACACCCCATGCCAAACAATGTAGCTAACAATTTGTAACTAATAACTATTATTTTGGTTATTACATGCAATAATTGAACAAAATTTCGTAAACCTAGCTAAAATGTTTAAGGAGATATAGACATTTTTATAAATAAACAAATTTTAAAAAAAAAACTAATTTTTTTCTGTTACGTTTTTTGCTAAAACTTTAAAAATATTCAATATAATTAAACGAAACTTTGGGATCAATTTAAAATTGATTACAAAATTATTGCTTTAAAATCTGTTAAACATTCGCTAAAAACTGAGCAAGAGATGAGTAATTTAAGTAGTTCTTCTATAATGCGCATGCGCGGAAAAAAAATTTTTAAAACACATATTTTTTCCTTATTATAGTAGTAAATTGTATTTGGCAACTAATAAAAAAAATCCGATATGAATATCTTAAAAATGTAAAATGGTGAAAGCAATTTTCTAAATAGTTTTCTAATTAGTTAAAAGAAAGCTCAGAATGATATATGGTTTTCTACAAAATTCATTTTGTACTATTAAACAAGTTTTATTAACAAATGATAATACCCTTCTAATGATAATCCGGACAACAAAGTGTGATGGTATTAGGAAATAAAACATGCGAAAGAAACGATACCTTTATGGGGATGATCCTCAACAATACCAATGTCATTTTTAATAAATCTTGTTTAATAGTACAAAAGAAAATTTGTGGAAAGCCCCTATCATTTTTAGCTTTCTTTTAACACTAAAAAGACTGAAACTTAGTATACTAAACCTATATTGCCCAAAAGCATTCAAAATGACTGGATTGCAAAAGAATAAATAATGTGTAAAGAAATTTGTTTAAAATTAATTTTTAATATTTCTTATATTATTTACAATTATATAACAAGTTATTAGTAAATATTAACAATAAGAAAAATATATGTTGTACAAAATTCTAAGAAATTGTGTCATTCTTCATTATATATATCATTGTTTTTCTAATTGAAATTAAAAGCAGTCCTTAGGAAACCTAGTGTTAAAAAGTAAGAAAACAAATTAGAAAATTGTTCTCAACTGTTTAAATTTTTAGGATATTCATACTAGACAAATTGCTAGAAATTTTTTTAATATTCAAGATATTCAAATTGGACTTTTATTTATTAGTTGCCACATACGATTCATTACAAAATTAAGAAGAAAAGATTTTTAATTTTACAGCACATGCGCAATATAAAAAAAAACTACTTTAATTACTCATATCTTGAACAGTTTTTAACCAACTTTTCTCGAATTTTAAGGCAATAATAAATCGTAATAAATTTTAAATTAATCATAAAGTTTCGTTTAGTTTTTATTTTTAAAATTATAGCTAAATAAAACACAAGACAAAAAAAAAAAACATTTCTTTATAAAATTGTCCATAATTCTATAAATATTTAAGCTAGGCTCACGAAATTTTGTGCAATTATTGACTGTAATCACCAAAATGATACTTATAAGTTACAAATTTATTAGTACATTATTTGGCATAGGGTGTTCAAAAACATTTGTTTTCCGTTTGTAATTTCTTATCGGACCCTGAACATCAAAAAGTTTTAACTTCATTGATATGTACGAGAAACCATACGGTCTAAACACTTTTAAATTTATAAACTGATTCTCTAAGTATTTTTTAAAAAATGTCAAAGAATGTGTTAGTATCGAAGTGTTTCCATTATTTTGTCCAACCTCTGTTTGCCTCCACAAATATTTATAAATAAAATTTTTTAAAGTCAGTACGTTTAAATAAATTTTGCTACATATATATATATAATTGTTTTGGCAGAATTTGCTTTTTATAGCCATCAATTATTTTAATATGATTTTTTTTAAAGAAATATAATTTAATCCAAGCGGGAAAAAAAGTTTTAAAAAAGTGACTATTAAATGAAAAAAAAACTATCGATAGCAGTCACGACTCATTAGTTTTAAGGAAAAGGTGACTTCTAAATTATTTGAGTTTACCTAACTAAAATTTTAATTTTTAGGTCTACCTTATTGAAAAAAACGTCTGCAAGAGACCCGAACAGAACGTTAGACTGACTCATACGTAAAAAAATACTTTTTTTTTAAAGACTTTGCAAAAAAAGTAAAAAAAAAATTTAAATTTTAAAAAAATTTAAAATTTTTATAAAAAAAAAATTTTTAACTTTACCTTTTAACATATACAATTGGGTCAATATTTCGATTTTCAAAAAAAATCTTATTGCTTATGTAATTAACAATCATGAAATTAAACTTTAATCAAATGATGCTAAAAAATATCGATAAAAAATTAATTTTACATTAATTTCACTATTAACTTCATTTTTTTAATATGTTCTACAAAAAAATAACAATAATATTTTTTTTTATAAAACTGCGCTAAAATTTTGAAAAATTAATTTAAATACTATTTGTTAAAAAATGCTGAAAACGTTACAAATCTATTAAAAATATTTAAATTTTATATTAAGATACTATAATCTAAAGTTGTACGTATAATTTAAATTATACTTACAACTTTAGATATAAACTGCTAACTAAATCCCCATTCTACAATTATATCAAGTAAACAATCGTAATTAATATAAATATGACCATTATTCATAAATTTTTCATCTATATAGAAATAATCTACCATTTTAGGGGGGAAGGGACAGCAACTGCGCGCATGATTAAACTATACGAGGAAAGCGCACAAAATGGCCGCCACCACCCCCCCTACAACCTACCCGAATAGATTAAAAAGAATAAAAAGAAAAAGTTCAAAAAGTACTTACGCGCTACTCCTAATCTATCAGCTATATACGACCAGGCTTTCAGTTTAACGTTCTTATTAGTATAATTTGTATGAGATTGGTCCCAGATTTCCGGTTTTGAAAATACAAGCGGAAGTAAATTCTCCGTACACATCATTTTGAATCAGACGATTTTTTTTAAACTTTTCTTCAGACTAATCCTGTCTGACATCAGACTATAAGATTGCGCATATCATAATATGGAATATAGAGAGAAAGTCGCAGATATTTTTTTGGGATTAATATATTCCTACTTTGACAGCTTGAAAAATGTCGAGTCTGGTCTAGTCTGATCGGAAATGTTTTGTGGAAACGGAAGATCGGAGAAGACGATCAATACAGAGACGATTTGTGCTGCCATCTGTTATTTTTAATAAAAACATACAAATCTCTTGGGGAAATAAAACTGGAGGCAAATTTTCAAAATTATATGAAAATGTATTAGGACTATTTATATATTGATTAAATTGTGCAATAATATTTCACTTGTCTTTGTATATTATTGTGCAATAATATTTTCATTAGAATGAACATTGCATCTGAGAGCAGTCTTTATAAAGCATTTTAATGTAATCCTTCATAATGTTAGAGTGAATTCCAAGTAATAAAGTATGAATAAATTACAATTGAATTTAGAAATAATTAAAAACAAATTACTTGCACAAAATAAATTGTTTTTGATCATAATTTGCTTATTTATATACAATATGCTTTCGTATTTTGTAAATATTTGCAAGATTCGAAACGTATTAAATAGAATAGGGAAAATTTTTCAAATGACTGAAATATAATCAGTAAATAATGAAATTTATTAATTTAATCCTTACCATCTTGTGCGTGTAAATTTGTGATTTTATAAATTTTACAATTTATGTAAAGTACTCTTAAGAATAAAAAGTGTTAATTTGAAATTATTTATAATTTTGATCTCACTTGATAAATTTTGCCCACCTATATATGTATTATTTTACTCTTTACTTCTATTCAATTTAAATCTAATTAAATTTTTTTGAAGTATTAAGATTTCCAAGAATCACAATCGTAAATTTTTTTTCTTTTTTAACTTCAAAAAAAATGCGTTTTTTTTTTCCTAATTTTTTTTTCCTTTTTTAATATTACTTAAATATTATTTCAATTTACTTCTGTCAAGTAGTAAAATATTCACTTTTAAAATGCATGCCACTGCAAAATTTATTAGGAAAAAATATATTCAAAGCATGAAATAATAATATAAAAAAACGGAAAGATTTAATGATGGAAAATAACTAGGATGGCATTTACAACTATAATAATCTAAGTACTAAAAAACTATATCAATCCTAATAAAGAATGCATAAAATAAATTTAATAATTAAATTTAAAAATTTATTAACTAAAAATTTAAATAATAAAAAATTAAATAATTGATGAATAGCTTTTTTTTTAAACAACGAAATACCTAATATTAAACATTTTAATTAAAAATCTAACTAAACTATAGTCGATAGATGGCAGCACTAAAATAAAACAAAGTTTATTTTATGTAAATTATTTTCATTATTATAAAATTCACATAACTTTTTTAAATTGTAATAAACCATATTTTTTTATTAAAAAAATGTTGAAAGGAAAAGTTTTACTTCGAACCATTTTCAAATTAATATTATTTAAAAACGTTCTTCAACAATTTTCATTTAAAATTATATTTGTATATTACAGATGATCAGCAAGTATCTAAAATTTGAATCTTTTATTTTATATAAATATAGATATAGACAGAGTTTTGATTTTTTAGATATTATTCTAGTATTAAGAAATACAAGCCCCAAAAGTTAGCATATCCTTTTAGAGGTTTTAACTTGGTGTGATAAATACGGGTTCCCCGACACCAGTGATCTAACGATATTTTCTTTCTTTTTTGTTTCCTCCTTTTATTTCCTTCTTGTTTTTGCGGGGAGAAACGATTCAACGATTCATTATGATACTAGTGTCTATTAGTATCGAATATTTTTTTATTATTATTATTATATTATTTTTATTATTATATTATTAGTATATTTTTTTCTTTTTTTTGTAATTTAGGGCAAAATAAGCGAGGAAGAACCTTGTGCAGTTAAATTTTACAATCGGTTAAATCCTGAATATTTAGTGTACTGTTGTAGTCAATAATGATAATCAATGATGACAATGAGAAATGCATATGATAATGAATATGATAAATGAATATGATAAGTGAACATGATATGAAATGAATATGATAATCAATTTTACGCTTTATCTTTCCGGTAATCGATTCAATTGTGATATTTTTAAATGTTACTGAAATAATACAAGTTATTAGGCAAAGAAAACCACGAAATCATGTTAACTTTCGTATTTGTCTTACACTACGATCTTGATACACAGACATCTTATTTTATTATATGCAGATAAAAATAAAATTAAGTACGATGAAATGTCTAAAAAAGGGAAGCCTATGAATAATCAATACAACTAAACAGTTTTATATATATGCATGTAAAATTCTTAATAAAATAAAAAAAGAAGAAAGGCAGATTCAACGTGAAAAAGTGTTTTTTCTGGGCTCACGAAAGCTGCAGTGGAGAGGAAAAAGAAGATAATTACTTCACATGTAAATTACGTATACAACGTTCTTAAAAGGCTATATAAAATAGAAACGTATGCTACATATTTACTAAAATTCTAGTATTTCTAAATTCTCCATGGAATTTACATAGGACCCAACTAGTGGGGTAAGATCGGGTAATTTAACTTTTAAAAAAAATCATTTATAAAAAAAGCAGTGCATCTAAGACTTTTTCAAAAATGATATTTACACAACTAAGCAATATCTTGATTAAATCAAACAGCTTCTGGGTCGAACAGTTCTTTGAATGTTTAGCTACCCGGTCTTACCCCAATTTCTCTTAAAAATTTCTTTTCCTAAACTTCAAACAAAAACTTAAATATTAATTGATATTTTAAAAAAAGCATCCCATATACGTTCGAATAAAATTAAATTACATAAAATAATTTAATTACAATAATTCCATTCAATTCGATTATAATTCAATTACAATAAATCAGTTCAATTGAATTATAATTCAACTGCATAAAATTTGTGTTCAATGACACGAACAAAATCGTTCGTTTAGCTCGAATAATTTTTTAAAGCAAACAGCGCACGTTTGCATCATCTTGATTTGATTTTAAACACATTTTATTTGAAGCACAATGCTGATTGTTGCGATATAATTTCATATTTAATGACCTTCGTTGAAATAGTCAAGCTAATTTTTAAGGTTTACCACTGCTAATTTTCAACTCCGTAGCCTTGTAATTTTGAACCGAATCCACAAGACAGGGGAATTCTTGGTTCAAGTATTGGGAAAAATTTGTCTTTTCTTTATGGAACTAACCTGCATTTGCGTTGCATGTGGAGGATTATCAAGAAAACCTCTCACGATTAACCTGACGGCAAGGGGCTCTATCTCACGAACCTTCTACCACAGAGGATATTTTTACGTCAACGCTGTGGTCCGTGCTAGCCGGGTGCGGATTTCGAATCGATAAGCCATAGCTGGGATTCGAACCCGGTTCACTTCATTGGAGGGCGAAAGCTCTGTCCCCTGAGCCATCACATATATTGCTATATTATCGTACATTTCAACAATATCTATTGTGGTACTGTATCTAGAGTCAGGGCCGTCAAAGCAGGGCATTTGCTTAACTTGTCTGGGTTCCGCATTTTTCGGATAATATTAAACCTGACACCTATTACTAAGAAATGATACTAAAAAAAATAGAAGTGTACCTTATACTAAAAAAAAAAGGAAAAGAAAAGAACTAATTATACAAATTAATAGTTTTAATAATATAAGGATTCTTTAAAATTTATTTTTCGTTTTAAAAATTTGAAAACCTTGTTTTCTGTTGCATTAATGATAAAATAGAAACGAAGACATAAATAATTTCAAATAAATCGAAATTATAAAAACAGAAAAGCAATATTTACACATTCTTCGCTAATTATCAATGTTGGCCCCTTAAACGCAGTTCTCCACTTCTAAGGTCGACTAATATTGTCTAGATACAAATTAAACAACAACAACAAAAAAATGTAATGAAAAAATTCAATAAAACAAAATAATGTAAATAAAACACAAATAAAGGGACAAAAATACATTTAAATCCATTAACTGCTCTCTATTCAAGCTGTTCTGTTTTATTTTTACATACGAAGTGTGCTCATCTTTATTTGAATAGAAAAGTTGCAAGTTATTAGGAGTGAGAAGAACTTTTTAAATTCAAAAATATTTCCATTTTTATACCTCAAAAGGAGAATATTCTTAGGAATGAGAAAACGTTTTTTATTAAAAAATATTTCCATTTTTATAACGCAAAAAGAGAATATTATTAGGAGTGAGAAGAACTTTTTAAATTCAAAAATATTTCCATTTTTATACTGCAAAAAGAGAATATTATTAAGAGTGAGAAAACTTGTTTAAATCAAAAATATTTCCATTTTTATACAGCAAAAAGAGAACATTATTAGGAGTGAGAAAACTTTTTTTATTCAAAAATATTTCCATTTTTATACCGCAAAAAGAGAATATTATTAGGAGTGAGAAAGCTTTTTAAATTTAAAAATATTTCCATTTTTATACAGCAAAAGGAGAATATTATTAGGAGTGAGAAAACTTTTTAAATTTAAAAATATTTCTATTTTTATACCACAAAAAGAGAATATTATTAGGAGTGAGAAAACTTTTTTCATTCAAAAATATTTCCATTTTTATACAGCAAAAGGCGAATATTATTAGGAGTGAGAAAACTTTTTAAATTCAAAAATATTTCCATTTTTATACCTAAAAAGGAGAATATTATTAGGAGTGAGAAACATTTTAAATTCAAAAGTCTTTCCATTTTTAGACCACAAAATGAGAATATTATTAGGAGTGAGAAAAACTTTTTAAATTCAAAAATATTTCCATTTTTGTACCACAAAAGGAGAATATTATTAGAAGTGAGAAAACTTTTTTAATTCATTTTCATACCGCAAATAGCGAATATTGATAGGAGTGAGAAAAACATTTTAAATTCAAAAATATTTCCATTTTTATACCGCAAAAGAAGAATATTATTAAGAGTGAGAAAACTTTTTTTATTAAAAAATATTTCCATTTTTATACCGCAAAAAGAGAATATTATTAGGAGTGAGAAAACTTTTTAAATTCGAAAATATTTCAATTTTCATACAGCAAAAAGAGAATATTCATAGGATACCACAAAGTATTTTGCCTAAGGGCCCCGCTTAAAGACTGCTGTTGTTAGTAATGTTCTTTATTCACCTTTCGTTTATTTGTATTATTGTTCATTAATTTT